ATTTTATTTTTTATTCATACCAGCTTAGTTTCAAATTTAAAGTAATTTCAAAATTTAAACTAGCAGGTTAAACCAGTCACATTTTGAAAACAGTTTTGAATGATTCTAAAAAAAATATGTTTTAGGATATTCGCAAATACATTGAAACATTTGAAAATCCAACCTGACCTCCTGAAGAACCCTTAAAAAACATTTTTGCCTTGTCTATGAGAAAGGAAGGTTTAGTTTTGAATACACGAGGTCTATTCTCAGTTTGATGAAGTGGCTTGTTTTGCCAATAAATAATTTTTTACCAAGGACTAACCTGCTGTTAAGGATGAGGAGGCTGTGAAATTTTTATGCTAATATCAGAGGTGTATTTTTTGTTCGACATTTTAAATTTCATAAACACATGTACATATTGTTTTAGAACATCCCGGACAAAAGGGATGCTTGCGCTTTTAATTTACACCTTTACTGCTACAAAAGCATGTAAACGTTATAAAAGTCAACATCCTTCACATATATGATGTTTTGGTATGACGAGCAAAGGGTCTCTCTCCCTCATTTTTATCTTCCAAGCACTTCTCAGCTTTTAGTGTAATTAGGCATCTTATGCTTAACCACCTGAAAGACTTTCTGAGGAGGACATGACCGGTCTAAAAAGATGATGGAGTGATCTGAAAACCAGCAGTTTAGACAGCAGGAGAAGAATATTAATATATTTAGTAATAAATAGTGGTTGCACTCCTTGGCACAAGTTTCCTGAACCTCCAGGTGAGCCCGGTCCCAGCCATTTCCCTCAGCTGGCAGCTATGGCCAGAGTGGCAGAGTGCCAGCAGCTAAACCAGTGCACTAGTGGCAAACAAACCACACAGAGGCACACACAAAAAGGTCTTTGAGAACCTCCAACCTGACCTAAGAAGCAAGCCATCCAAATCCAGTGAGAGCTGGGAGGAAATGTCTAGTTTGCTTGACCGATCACCCCTAGATCTCCATCCAAATGGTACATAGGCTAGGTATTTTGATGTAAGCTCCTATCAAACATCGACATTTTCATAAGCTGTGAAGTATGCAAACATATAATTACTGGGCGAGCTTGAAATAGTTGTATTTAATCTGATTATTAATTTTTATAGATGTGAATAAGATTTGAATAATCTCCACGTGATGAACTACAGCTACTTTTTGCAGCAACTAGGAAGTGTTATCATGACAAGAAAAAAAAAGGTGTTTGTTTTTTTTCAAATTCTGGAAAATATCTTCTAAAATATAAAATACAAAAAAAATTTTTTCACATTAAGTCTACAGTGTAGATTTTTCATACTGTTGGGGGACTGGGTGACCTGCAAAGACTTGATGGGTTGCTCCGATACAGTCTCACAGCTACGTACAGCAATCTTGCAGTTACTGTTAAGCAATAGCAACATTCAGTTCCACTAAAATGGTTAGAAACAGTGAGTGTGAAGAGACTATGTCAAATAAAGTTGTTTTCTCCCTTAACTTATGACCCATGAATCTAATTCTAAATTCCACAGGACTGAGTAAATGAGACAGATCTTTAATCCATCATATTAAAACCTACATTACCACGATTTGAGAAGCCAGCTCTGACAATCTTCTTTCATGTTCTGTAGGACTAGTCACTATATATAAATTAATACACTGCAAAGTCTGATCTCAATAACAATGCATACTTCTCAATGACATGCTAAGGCAGGGGAATACTATACCCATGGTTTATGCAGCTTTTATGAACAGTAAATCTTATTTCCTTTATATATATATATACAAATTTATTTTTATTGTTTATAATTTTTATTAACTAACTGTGAATGTTATGTTCTCTTTCTATATATATTTGTTTCTATATACTTCCCTTCCAATGAATACTCTATAAATTTCTTTCTCCTCTCAGAAAAAATAATTCCAAATAAGGAATTAATCTACATTTGCTATTTTCTTTCCCGTCTATAGCTATAACTCTATTTTTAAAGATTCATTAGATCTTTCTCCTGAACTTGAATGATGCTTACATGTATCTACCTACTTTGTGTTCAACTTTCTTTATTTCACCCATTTCAGAGCTCTGAGATTAGAGCAAACACTATGGGTAAATAAGTCTCATCTTACTGTGTCTGTTAAAAAATGAACGTTTGATTTCCAAAGTTAGTCATGTCAGCTTCCTTCCTCATCAACACAGAAAGAAAGGTACCTTAAAGGTCCATTCACCCCATGCTGGTGCCTGTCTGAGATTGCTGCAATACACTGGTGGTGTGCGTGACCGCAGAAGGAGCCTAGGAGACCACGTTAGGCTGGATGAGATCTGTCCCGGCCACAGTGTTTGCTGTGCTCTTAGGTAAAGAAATGCTCCACTTCTAATTTCTTTTTTACAACATTGATCATTCAGCTTCTCAAGTAAATCTCCTTTCAGTCACACTTCAGTCTTAACTTCAGTCCCCGCGAAAGTTATGGAACGAATCATCCCGGGGGCTATCACAAGTCAAATGAAGCACGTGCTTGGGAAAAGCCAGCATGGATTCACCAAGGGCAAATTGTGCTTGACAAACCTGATTGCCTTCGGCGACAAAGTAACCTCCCTGGCTGATGTGGGGCGAACAGTGGACATTGCCTACCTGGATTTCTCCAAGGCTTTCAATATGGTTTCCCACAGCCTCCTCCTAGAGCAACTGATGCGTTATGCTCTAGACAAGTGGTCCATGCGGTGGATGCACCCAGAGGGTGGTGGCGAACAGGTCCTCTTCGAACTGGCAACCTGTCACAAGCGGGGTCCCCCAGGGATCGATATTGGGTGCAGTGCTGTTTAATATCTTCCTAAGTGATCTGGATGATGGGATCAAGTGTACCCTGATGAAGTTTGCTGACAGCACCAAACTGAATGGGGAAGTGAATACTTCAGAGGGGAGAGTCACCCTGCAGGAAGACCTGGATAGGCCGGAAGAGTGGGCTAACAAGAACCTTGTGACATCCAACAAGGACAAGTGTAAGGTCTTGCACCCGGCAAAACATAATCCAGGAGTGCAGCACAGACTGGGATCTACCGGGCTGCGGAGCAGCTCTGTGGAAAGAGACCTGGGGGTCCTGTGGACAACAGGCTCAATATGAGTAAACAGTGGGCTGCTGTGGCAAAGAAAGCCAACTGGATGCTGGGTTGCATCAACAAGGGCATCACCAGCAGAGATAAAAAAGACATTATGCCTCTCTACTCAGCGCTTGTCAGGCCACACCTGGAATACTGTGTTCAGTTTTGGCCCCCACTATGCAAAGAAGACATGGACAGGCCGAAGAGGGTCCAGAGAAGGGCCACAAATATGATCAAAAGGACTGGGAAACCTGCCACATAAGGAAAGGCTGAGAGAACTGGGTTTATTCATCCTTGAGAAAAGAAGGCTGAGGGAGACCTTATCACCACGTTCCAGTATTTAAAGGGTGGCTACAAAGAAGATGGAGACTGCCTTTTTACAAGGAGTCACATGGAAATGACAAGGGGTAATGGGTACAAGTCACCCCTGGAGAGATTCCAACTGGAAACAAGAGGAAAATTTTTCACAATGGAAACCAGCAGCCCTTGGAATAATCTCCCTAGGGAAGTGGTGGATTCCCCAACACTGGACACTTTCAAGATTCAGCTGGACACAGTGCCAGGCCATTTTGTCTAGACTGTTCTTTTGCCAAGAAAGGTTGAACCAGATGATCCGTGAGGTCCCTTCCAACCTGGTGTTCTATGATTCTTTCAAAAGTGCAATGCTCACCTAACACTAGCACCTTTTTACAAAACAGGTTTTTTTTTCGCTGGGTAGAGTATTAGCATGGGCTGTGTCTACACAGCGTTACAGTTGCTGGGCCAGGAAGACTAAGTTTTCTATGGCTGGGTTATGCAGACAGAAGCATCCCAAAGGATGGATCAAATGTAAGCATTATTGTTGGTAACACTGTGTGCAAAAGGAATGAAGACATGGTGAGAGAGTCAAGTTCTCTTGCAGTTGCTTTCTTACACCTGCCAAACTCCATGTACTACAAGAAAACATCTATATGTGCATCTGACTTAACTATCCAGAGGATAATTTGACCCTGCAGTGCCCTGAGTTCTGTACCCTACAAGCTGAGTCGGTCACTTTGATATAGCCAAAGTTGATACTCACCTAAGGGGAGCAAATTCTCTGTTAACCTTTTAAGAAGGATGAAAGCAAAAAAAACAAAAAGGAAAAAAAAAGCCCAATTTGAATAATGATTTTTTAAAGGAACCAGGACTGGTGAACACTGTCAATTAAATGTTCACCTTTTCCAGAGCTAATAGAAAACTTTTTGTTTCGTTAGAATTTTGTAAAGAGACTACCTGCTAGCCTTTTGACCAGAGTGCTGGAAAACTGAAATACATGTGCATGGGTATTTTCTAAAATTACACCTAAAATCACAAGTTTCCCTCCAACCATAAGATTTCAGACATCTCCTTAATACCACTAGTGGTAAATTTTAATTCTCGCTTCTTGTGTATGTATCTAACATTAAAGATGGAACTAGAAAATACCCACAGTTACAGAATGTGGTTGCTCACAGTGGCTGAAGCCAAATATCCATTCCCTCGTAGCCTTGCAGCATTAAGAATTGCAGCAAAATCCCCTTATGGTCTCCCGACTGCGTAACAGCCACCAACCCAGGAGAAACACCTCTGTGAAGCTACAAGGCCCAACGGGGCTCCATTTCTTAGGGACCGGCTAGGCTGCACCGCCTGAATACAAGTGTCATGAAACCCTGAAGGCAATAAAAGCAGGGAATCTTGTTAGTTGTTGCAGTGGTGACGTCAGATGCTTCAGTTTTACCAATGGCAAAATCAATTAGCCAATTAATAGAATTGTCTATGTCCGCTCGCTGGTAGGAGTTAGCACAAATTCTGAGGATTACAAAGGTTTCCAGGGACCGCAAGGTGTGCTGAAATAGCTTTCTTGCTAGAAACTCTGTTAATTGTGTGTGTTAGAGAAAAAGAAAAAGGTGGTTCCGACCTGTCATGCCTCAGTGCCCTCATATCAACATACACTGTGGTGGGATCTGGTCCAGATGTTCCCTGTAAACAACAACATCAGCTAATCAGAACCTGAAGGCTGGGAGGAGAAAAGACTTTTACCCCCCAAATGACCAAATGTTCATTTCACTGTTAATTATGCTAATCAAATGACAAGTTATATTTAAGCTATTCATCAAACAAAGCTCAGCTTTACAGAATCAGAAAGAGCACTGGAAAACATACCTACCGTCAGGTACCTGTTACCTTGGGGTTCGGAAAAACGTCAAGCGGCCGTACCACTTAACCAGACACATGTCAACATAGGTTTTATTCACTACAGAGGCCAAGTAATCAGCACGTGGATACATACAAAAAATGTTAAACACATTTTGCCATAGAAAGGAATGCAGAAATTGCTGAGGAGACACAGTTTAATGGCAGAAGCACATGGTCAGGAACGTGAAGCATGGTTTACTGAGAGTCTTCCATACATGCAACAGAGAACATACTTGAAGCTAAAGATAGTAAAGGTAGCACGCATGACATGAACCAATGTGGACTGAAGGTCTGTAAGCAATTATTCTGTTCCTTTTCAGTCTTCCACTACATAATTTAAATCCTTGCTTTATGCCACAATATTCAGTTACTTGAAAAGCAGTAGACTAATTTTTAGTTTCCTTTTATGCAGAGACGATACAGTTTTTTAAGCCCTTCCACCCACAGCTTTGCTGCAGTTTTGTAACCTGCTATGATCTTCCCTTATCTGAAACTTCAAACTCATCACCACTGAACATCATGTGAATCCTCCATGCTCTAGCCTAGGGCTCCTTTCTCTGCTGCACACCACACGTCACTGGTAAGCAGAAAGCTAGCAGAAAAGCACAACTTCATTTTGGAACACTGGAACTTTGGAAATTTTCTTTTCAGCAGACAAATTCACTTAACCCTGGTAATCTACAGGTGCAGGAACTCCTTTACCAGTTATTTAGAGGTTTACTACTTCAAACAGCAGGCAACGCCAACTCCCAGTGATTTCTGTCCTTTTTAGGATATATTATAGAGTATAATTCTTCACATTAGGAATGTCTTGGGCTAGATTTTGCATTTCTGCATTGCTGGCTGGTAGTTCCACAATTTGTTGAGCACTAAAAATTGCAATGAAGTTCCACAAATAGATAACTTTTGTATCTAAAGGGGGAAAGCGTTACTACTACCAGTTGATACTTACTGTACAGAAACTGATAGTGACCCACCACCAGAGGAGAAAAAGAGTAATAGAGCTGCACATGCATGTTAGCCTCTTTAGCTTGTTACACACAATACAAGATACAATATCCTCTCTAGCTATGAACGACACAATTTTCAGTCTACTAGTAAACTCAGCAGTGTAACAGACTAGTGCTGAGTGGAGAACTTCTTTGAAATATATGCAATGTTAAAAAAGAAAACAAAACCAAGGAAAAACTGGTTATCTTTAAAAATAAAACTAAACCTGAATTGGTTTATAAAATAATGGAAACAGTCAAGTTCAAAAATCACAGACAATCACTAAGGTATTTGTTATTTTCAGTGTGAACGAAATAGTTACAACAGAGAGCTAATATTTGATGAAACCTGCATCCAGATAAAGCTATACCGGACTTGTTTATAATTTCATAGAAGGATCTGAAAATCTCCAAATCTCCAGACTCAATTTCTAGTCTGTCCCACTGTTGGAAGCTGATAGGTGGGTATTGAGGGAACATGAAAATCCCCTACCTGCTCGGCCAGCTTCCCCCACAAGACAAAAATAATAATAAAAAAATGGGAATGAAGGGTGGGAGAAAATAAAAGAAGAGAATGCAAAAAGCAGGGAGTAAAATAAAAAGAAAAACAATGTCAAATACAGGAATCTTACAAATTAACCATTATACCATTAAAGGTTAAAAAAAGTAAAAAATGAGGTGTCAACATTTTAGTAGAGCAACAGAAGAGACAGCTGTAGACTGCTAACCTTGGACAAACAGACTTAAATGGTTTTAGGACACTACAGACAATGTTGTTAGTGGAAAACATGTCTAGCATACTGACTTTTTTTTTTTGTTTTTGGTGAAGAAGTCAGTAAACATTATAGCCCTGCTATTTTAATGCACATCCATTGAGGCAGGGGTTCCAGGTCTGCCATTTCAGAACTAAAAAAAAGCTTGTATGACATGTCCTCTGGAAATCAAAAGTAAGCTCTAGTTTTGGAAAAAAAATATTAGTATACAATGGAGCAAGATACACCTTGTCTCATACAGAGCAACCTGCTCCTAAAGTAAAATAAAATCAAGGCTTCATGCACAACCTAATTACTAGAAGACCATAACTAAATGGAGTAACTTCATAGTTCAATAACTCTTCATTCTTAGTCTATCTGCTATGATAAGCAGTGTAATATGTATTAAGCACAGTAAAATTAAAAGCCAATAAAAGCCCCTCAGTTCTCCACCACGATCGATAATGCAGCGAAGAGACACAACACAGCGGTGACTCGTCCTAAGCTGCTCCTGTCAGGTGGAGCATCGAACGCCGGACGGCTGCAGCAGGACTTGCCCTACAACTTGTGAAAACAAACAGCTCCGAGAGCACTGGCCTCCCACATCCCTCTCATCAAACTCCTGAACTCCAGCACAGTTAACGATTACAGGAAGCCGCCACAGCAGCATCTTAAAACAGGCTTAATTTGGATGTGGGGGAAGATGAAGTATTTAAAATATAGGATAGATCTGCTCATTAGATTGCTGCGCCAAAATAGAAATATTACTAATAATCTATGTTGGATGTTGCAGTGCAACTGCAAGAATGTAGGAGAATTGATGAAATCTATCAGTTCTGTAATTCATTGCCTCTGACTATACTGCAAGTCCAGAGAGGACTTTGAGAGTACCAGAGCCTCATACTGCTTTTAACTAAGGAAGGGCTTGAGAAACAGCAGCTGAAGTCTCAGCATCGTCCTTCTGCGGCCAGCTGCAGCTGAGATACTCTGAAAGTGTTTCAAAAGAAGGAGAGTCCTAGCCAAGACCAGAATGACTGACTCAGTTTGTCTGTGCAAATTTATATTGCGAGGCAGAGACAGAGAGCATCTGTAATGTTGGTAACAGGAAAAAAACAGCGTAACTTCTGTGGTTTCTGACAATTACTGAGCACATGCTAGGTAGTGTTCAAGGAAATAAAATGGGCCAAATATCACTTTCTGTTTGAAAACAAGTACATTGTAAGTCACATCCCTTGTACTAAATAAATCTCCTGCCCATGCATAGGCTGCCACCAGTGAACCATCCCTGGTCTGAGCAAACCTCTGCAACATGCCAGGCTTTTATTCTCTGGGAAGACATTGCAGGTCAAAACTGCATGGAGGACCACCCTAACAAGCCAGCAGTAGGGACGACCACATGCCAGCACTCAGCCTGTACCTAATTTCCACTGAAGTCAAGGGCCCAGCTATGTGCTCTCCCCTGCTTCCTTCCCCACGGTTAAAAAACAGGAATTAGGCAATCAGCAGTTCTAAGAATTTAAAAGTAACTGTTGTTTCAGGTTTTGTTTTGTTTTGCAATCTAAGGATGTGGCCTCAAAGCTTACTCTGAGTCTACTTCTGCTCCAGTGGTGCTCGGAAATGAAAATTTTGATGTGGGCTTAATAATCTCACGTACGCAAGCACAGCAGCTGGAGCTGTGAACAGAACTTCATGGCATGACTCACAGTAAAGGTGGGAAAACAGAATCTGAGGGAATTCACCCAGAGCTGTACCACATTGCTAAGTGTGAATTGAACCTCTGAGGATGCGCGTGGTCTCCTGCTGCACTCTTTGCAGAGCTATCTCATATTACTTTTAATAAGAAAGATCCTCAAAAAATGTGATCTATCACTAAGTAAAAAGAAACATTAGCTTTAAGCTCTACATTTACTAACAAAGTTCTCTTTGCTAGACAGTGAAGGAAAGATTCATTTCATATAACTTCAGCCATCAAAGAAGAAAGTGTGCCGTATAGGGTAGGAAGGAATTCCTGATGGTGATGAATCCCATCCCAAGATGGGCACCTGAGACAGGCTGAATGATAGTAGATGAAGATGATACATGAAGCTCTCTTTCTTTGGTTCTACTGACTACAGATGGATATTGGATAACTCACTTCACTTTGCTGTCCCACTTAGAGGTGACACGAAAGAAGCAAGATGAATCCTGCTCTCCTGCCCTAGCCTGGGCAGATTTGTTAGTACATTTTCAAGGTTAACTAAGGAAAACGAACAACTTCCAGAAGTTTTTCCTCAATTGAAATTGAATAGGCAGGTTGAATAAAATGAAAATACTTCTTTCAAGTGTTTAAATGGAAATTACCTAAAATCCTAGAGAACCATCTGTGCCATTGTAAGAAACAGACTATTTTTCACATCTATTTTTCTCTCTCTCTTTAGAATGATAAGATGCTAGTTAATGAGAATTAAAATACGCTGGATGCAATCTTTTCATCTCAGAAATCCCTGGACCATTTTCTGTGACTATACAGCCATAAAAGGTCATATAGTAATGGTATTTAAGTGCCTAAAGATGGCTAAAGATGGCTAAAAAAGACTTTCAAAAGCATACCTCTAAAAATCTAGTCCAAAATGACTGCATCAAAAGAAACATAGTAAATTTGCTCTACATACGAAAGGAAACAAATACAAATGACAATGCCTTAGTTTGTCGGTGATCCTAATCCTGAAATTATGATTCATTTTGTAGACTGAGGCTCTTTTGTACCAAAGGGATTATCACAGTGATTTTCTTGTTAAAGTAATCTTTAATAAAAGGTCAAATTCTGATACCAAGTTTTTATACACACACACATACATGTACATACACCCCCCCACCCCCCCCCCTTTTTTTTGGAGGGGGAACAAAAGTAAAAGCTTTTTGGAAAAATCAGGATAACTTCCCCTTTAAACACCTGAGTCTTAAATTTGTCAAAAAGTTGGTGATGTAGTGAAGATGGTATCAAAGATCACCTCCAAGTTATGTTAGAGGCAGCCCATAGAGAAGAAAGGCTTCTTGCTTGTAAGGGGCAATAGCTGAATATTGAGATATGTTTAGAAAGCTGATTGAAAGATACATATTTCAGAAAGACCGTAGAATAGGCTGGATCACAGTTGTCCTGTGGAAGACAGTGTTCCAGGAACCACACGCTGTTCTCATGGATGATACAACTTGGAAGAAAAAAAGCAAAGGCGTATGCTATTGACTCAAACATCTTTACAAGTATTTTTATGTAGCATGAATAATCCAGAAATCATGACCCATTTCTGGAACATATTGGAGACAATGCTAATTTCAGGAACATTGTTGACCAAAGATTAAAATTCATTCTGTTCCTCAGCCCAGAAAACATAATAGCCCACAAGCTATTCTGGAGTAGCACTAGCCGTAAACTGCCAGACAGTTTGGAAAGAGCATTCACTCTAATTCAGTATCAAGTCTTTGGCAGTGTCTACTACCAGATGCTTCAAAGGATGCAGTCCTGTATCTTTATATTCTCTATCAAAACTACATGTTTTGCAGTGATGCTTGAATGTAACACCTTCAGTAATTTTTCAAGCCCCTTTAAAACTTGCCAAAGTACCCTTGACTTAAATGCTTCAAAAGCCATTCCGCTTGGAAGGGTAACATTACTAAATACAGTCTGCTCTGAAAAGGCTTTTCTTCATTCCAGCCACACCACTGTTTGGACAGTGTATGGCTTTTAGTTTTTCCTGTGGACTGAGATGCAACATCTTAGCAGAAGACTGACACCAAGCTATAAGCTATATGATCACCCAGGCTGTTACCACCTCACTCTAGGCTCTCATTCTGTGCTGTTCTTAAATTCACAGTCAGTATCATTACTAATATTCCTCCAGAGAGTTATCCACCTTTACAGTTTGATTCCATAACTCTTTTAAGAATTGCTGTAAAGAACCATTTAAGAAACAACCTTCAGCTAAGGAGTTAACACAATCGAAAGGCAGATATACACAGTCAAGTAAAAATACAGCCTAACTCCATGCTGATCAGGACTTCCCGTTCCTCTGAGTGTATTCAGCTTTCCTGCACGTTTGCAGTGGATTGACCCAGACAGCAGCTAAGCACCCACCCAGCCACTCGCCCACTCCCTTCTCAGCGGGACAGGGGAGAGCATCGGACGAGCAAAAGCAAGAAAACTCATGGGTCAAGACAAAGACAGTTTCAGGAGTGAAAGAAGAGAAAAAACCCCAAGCGATGCAACAGCAATCACTCACCACCTCGCACAAGCAGAACGATGCCCAGCCAGTCACTGAGCAATGGCTACGCTGGAACATCAACCACTGCTTTTTTAATGCTGTGCATGACATTATACGGTATGGGATATCCCAGGTCAGCTTGGGACAGCTTTCCTGGCTGTGTCCCCTTCCAGCCTCTTGCTCTCCCCCAGCCTACTTGCCGGTGGCAGTGGGATGGTGGTGCGGTGGGCAGAGTGAGAAATAGGGAAAGCCTTGATGCTGTGCAGCACTGTTCAGCATCAGCCAAACCACTGGTGTGCTATCAGCACTGTTTCAGTCATAAATCCAAAACACAGCTCCATACGGGCTGCCATGAAAAAAGTTAACTCCATCCCAGGCAGACCCAGTACCATAGTACTTCCAACAAGGCAAGTCAGACTTGTGCACTGAACCTGGCTTACTGCTGCCTAGTGTCATTCCCTGGTTTTATTATTTGTCCTGAACAAATGACTTTTCTTGTAAGCGAAGCAGCCACCACGAACAGCTCAGAGATCACTGTGAGCCTGGAATGGACATTTTCATTGGCAACAAGCAAACTTCTGCAGCTAATTTGTCCTTGTTATCTACAGCACCCTTCACTTCTGGTCCCTCCATGGACCAGAGGCCAGAGAAGTTCAGCTATTTTTCAGAAGTAGCTCCACCACAGCAGCATGGAGAAGCTGACGGGCCCCATCCTGATCTGTCGGGAAAGTCAGAGCAGTCAGCCATGAAGGTACAGCATCACTTCCCTCCTTCCCTCCCCTGTAAAAGACATCCCATGGGCACTTCAAAATGGCTAAAGATACAGGACCAAATTAGAAAACTGTTGTTACCAAGTGACCAGCTCACCTCTTTCTCCTCTGTTTTCCCTTTCTACTCGCGGGAAAGCAATGTCCTTGCTGCCTGCTGTGCCCCTCCCAGCCAACTGTTTAAGCTTGGCTGGGCTGATAACTGGGAAAGCACATCAAACCTGCACCTGCTAACTGGCCTAAACTGGTACTGTCCAAATTGTGCTGTCTGGGGTGGCAGTGCCTAAAGATTTCTTAGATGTTTTCTGAGTTGTCCTCTCTGCCTTGTCATCACCCAGGACTCTAGATATGGAAAAAGAAATGAAGAGGCCTGTATCCTTGCAAAGAAACATTCAGTAGAAGAGATTTCAAAACCTCAGTCAGGACTTTCTGTATGAAATCCATGACAGAAATATGGGGTAGGATGCTGCTTGAATTCATACATGTTTCTAACCTACAAGATATATTTTTGTCTCAAGAGTATTTATTCAGTTTTATTAGAATAAAACTCTTTTGAAGGATTCAAGTGCTGCTGAAGGGACACTCTGCCGGCAGTCAAAGGGAAAGCAAGCAGTACCGGAGATGTGGCATACCTCCTATATTCATATTCTCGTCACCTGATGAACTACAAGGTCACTTTTAGCTAAGGTCTGATGAAAGCCAGGATTCTTTAGTGATGCTGAACAGGGCAAGAGGCTAAGGCAGGCATAACACAAAGACATACTTGTCTGTGCTGAATCCTTAACCTGTATTTGTCACATTTTGTGGATAAAATAAAAAATCTTTACATTTACAATCAGGAAAAGAATAGCAAATGCCTTATTTGCAGCGTCACTGAGAAGATCTGTTCTAGCTTCCACAGCTAAGCAATTATGCATGTCGCATGCATGAGAAATCCTTTAATGTAAATTCGGGGTAACTGCCAGACTTGAAAAGTGGGATGCACCATATAGAATACAGGCAAGTTCTACCCGGGAGACAGTGACTTTGAAGAGGTTAGAGACATGGTAGGTGACCAAACGGATATAGAACTTCCCAGCCAATGCAGCTGCCAATGAAGAAGATGATTCTTGTATTATTTAAAAAAGATTATTAAGTCAGAAATCATATTACATTTGAGTAGGACACCTGTGGCATTATTATAGGAATAATATGTGAAGTTCTGATACCAGATTTGGAAGGACAGAAAGAGATCAGGAGTCATAAAAATGAGACACAGATCAGAAAAGCCTGTCTTAAGATCCTTTATCTATTTATCAAAGACTAAGATGCGTCTTAGAGTCATGACAGAAATGAGATTCTTATTCTAGATTAGAAAAATGTAATAAAATAAAAAATGGCTGAATGTAATGCCAGATAAATTTGAACTAGAAATAAGGCAAAATTCATTAAAAATTGAACACCTTAGAAAAAGGCAAGTTAAGTTTCATCACTCGAAGTCCTGAAAGATAAATAATCTACTGTAGATCAGCCTGAAGCTATTTCCTTGGTGTAGTTATCACTGGGTGAAAACCTAGAGGCTATTCAGAAATTCAGATCAGATAGCTACAGCGCTCCATCTGTCCTTCACATCATGACTCAATAAGATTCCTGGAGAATGCAAGTTAAATCCTGTATTATCCCTGGGTACTTTCTTCTGATTAGTGGATCAAAACAGAAATGAAAGCGAAGCAGCAAAATAATTTTCCATTGTAAGCAATAAACTGTGTGCAGAAAATATCTATCTAGTTAACTAAGGGTTGGAATTATTTTATAAACAGAAGGAATCCATTTTGTAACGTACTAAAGTAAGCACTTGGAAACCGGATTTTACACTACATGACCAAACACTATTTTTGGAGTACAGAGTATGCATTCTGTCACTACCATGCACTCTTCTGAATTACTGTATTCATGAGCAGAACAAATGCTATGATTGCAACATGAGAGGGATGAATAGTTGACAAAGTAACAGAAATTTACTGCCTGTCTAAGCAAGAACATTAAGTACCACACGCATTTTCTTAATATGTCTACAACCAAGTAGCCAAAGCAAATACAATGAATGCTTCTTATTGAAACCATTTTCTTAAAACAACTTTGAGCCTAGGGAGTGAAAAGTCTTACCTGCAAACATATCGCCAGGTTAACTCTACAGCCAAGCGATGTGCTGACAGCCCGTGGATGGAGACCAAGGTCTTTAAATAATTTTGAAAACGACTGAGTAAGAGCTATCCGAGGTCGTTCTTCAGCCACTACTACACATGTCCGTACACGTGAAAGGTCCAGTCCCCTTGCCTAAAAAGAAGTGAAAATGTAACAAAGTTCACAAATAGGCAGATTTAATGACAAACAGTCAGCAGTACTCAAGCGTGTTAGGCAGGTATTATGAGGAACAGTGGAATAGAGGCTAAGGTGCCAGTATAATTTCCATCTTTCCTGGAGGCCAGATGGCCAGATGACAGTTTAGTAGCTGTAGAAGAGCAGACATACTTGCTTGTCATCTCAGCGTTAGCATGTAGGAAGAGAAGGGTATGCTAATTCTGAAGGGAGGGAATGCCATTTCCCATTATTAATTCAGAAAGCCAGTAAATAATAGCAAACAGGAAGCAGTGTGTAGCCTTGGAAAAACTGATTAGGAAATTATTAAGCAAGGATGGTAAGGGCTGGAAACGTCATAAATAACAGTATCGCAGGACCTAATTTATTTCAGTAGCATACTGGAAATTCTAGATGATTTCAGAAATGAAACTGGCTACCTGGCTTTTAATTCTGGGGGAAAAAACAAAAAAGATTCCCCCCCACCCCCTCCGGATAATATAGTTAAAACAATACAGTACTTGTAAGTATGTGATTATTTAACTACAGGGGTCAAAAACAAACTAGCACTTCATATAATCAGGGAATTCATAAAACATAATATACAACATAATGCTCCTTAGGCCTCTTGGACATTTACACCTCTGTTTTCCAACACTTGCCAATCAACACAGGCTGCAACACAGATCAGAAAGCAAATAAAAGCCTTTCCTTGATGTTTAAAAGCCTTGTGATCTGAAGGAGGATGACTGATATTCATATATAGCCTTTGGCAAGGAATAACATGGTTTCTGTGGAAGCTGCCCGTGCCTTCTGATGATTTTCTCCTCGCTGCAGACATTTAGCACAGCCGTTCGTGGCAGGGAAGGCTCCCAAACACCACCGTGCAGATGGCAGGTTGTGCCGGACGACAGAGTTACTCACCTTCAGCGACTCTGTTTGCGAACCGAGTCCCTTAGTACAAAGCTCCATGACCGAATAGGAACAAAAAGTGTCTCTCACTTTGTACTGACTCACAGCAAGAAGCCACAGAGCGGGATTGGTCTCCAGTTCTGAGGGAGGAATCAAAATAGACTGGTGTCCTGAATAAACGCTGTAAAGACACAAGAATCGTTAACGTACGCTAAATGCCTGTGTCCACAGGTGTTTACAAGCTATGGAGTACTAGAATATAAAGTTTATCACAGCGCAGATGATGAACCATGATAATGATGAACTACAGGTCCAGTAGTTTAACATGAAGTTTGACTCCATTTTTTGCTATACCTTCAGAATCTACGAGGAATGCAGGCAGAACACGCTCCTAAAATACCAATTTACTCAAAATGCCTGTGGACTTTGCTGTTAGAACTGTACCAACGAGAGTGAAATAGTTCAGTTATTAATGGCACTAATAAACAGTGTTATAATATCAACAAAAATTATATGTCGCTGACAAATAATTGAGTAATTACCATTTTAAGATACCTTGATTAAAAGAGCACTTGATTGCTTAATATGGAAATAACCTCTCTCCTGCTGAGGCAAGCAAGAGGTTTGCAATCATTTTCAAAGGAGTAAATCTGACCCAAATTTAACAATCCTTGTGGCTTTAAATTTCTTCTGTGAAAGTTTTACAAACTTTTTAAACCTAAATATACTACACCTCTTCTTTATTGGATATCCAGTGAGGATAAGTATTGAGAACAGACACTTATCAGGGTCCCTGAAGGAAACAATTATGTCAGAGCTAATTTCTCTGGTACTCAAGATTCTCCCCAAGGGAAAAAAATATTCCCAATTTGATGTCTTTATTTCCCGTGGGTCCTGTGTTGTTCACTCATCTCAGACAGGCAGATTTACCATTAATTTTACAGTCTCCTCACATCATAATTTGTGATTTGTAGGTATTTCAAATCGGAATGGTCATAGCATAAAAACCCTCTAATCACAGAAGTTCTGAGAAAGGACCATAAAGCCCCTATGATTTATGATGCACATGAGAGAAATTCATTTGTGACTTGAAAACTTGAAATTCCAGTTTGGTAAAGTAAATCTGATGTTTTCAAATCCAAGTGCTTGAGGTAAGACATGAAATGGAACTCTATTTTCAGGAATCTGAGCATCTCTGTAACTTCTGACACTGGAAGACACACCTTTACAGTTCTTGAAGATGGGTGGCTCACATGGCTTCCCTCCTTGGTGAGTGAATGCCCCGACCCCCCACAAACCCAGATGAGAGAGTTTTCAAGAGCTGTGCAATTTAGAACAAGGTTTGTGTGACCTGGATGTCTTTACTTAGTATGACAAACGCATGAAAGGTGTACAAGTCCAGCCACAATGGCAGTTAATAATCTAAATAGTTTAGGTCTCTGCTGGAGTATGAGCCAGAGGATGTCATAGAGTATGTATGAAGTACAGTTCAAATAATTTCATTTATCATACAGTAAAAATTTTATCTTTGACTGCTTGTCCACATTTACACCACTCTTGATGATTCATGACCAGCGACTTGCCACGAAGCGATGTGTTCTCGGATATGGTTGACATAATGACTATAGCGCCGGACAGTTAACTGAAGCATTATGCTTTCATGTTGCTTTTATGGAAACAGAATAAAGTATGACTGAGCCTTGAGCATGTGCTTCATAAACATGTGAAAAGAGATGCTGGCAGCGTTACCCAAGCCTGAAAGGAGTATGCTCTCAGCTCAAGTGACAGATCAAACCCAGCTAGGGAGTAGTAACAGTTTTTACTATAAATATTACTTCACTCTTTCTTTCTCAGCCAATTCTTTTAAGACAAAGACAAATCTTTTCCCCCTCAGCAACACTAATGAGTGGGGGTGAACTGTCTCCCGCCCTTGATCAGCTTATGCTGGACAAGTAAGAAAGATACTCGTATTTGCTCTTAACCTCCCACCAACAGCCATGTAGCAAAGCATGAGGATTTGGATGCAAAACAACCCCCTTCTTCTCCAGACTGAGGGAAAAAACACTCTTATGATCAGACTTCACCTGAAAGAATCACTCTGATCAGACAGAAATAAATGAAGATGTTGCTAGTACCTTTCCTGAGTTTTCTAATTCCTCAGAAATACTGAGGAGTTTGGAATTATAACTGCAGAGCACAGCAGGAAATATCTAGCTGGAAGGAAATTTTCTGTGCTGCAGAAGCTCAGGCTGTGCTGCTCTTGTCTACAGTACACAAACCTACAGAAATACGGTATCACGCTTGGAAACCTGATGACCAACACAGGCTTTGTCTACCGAACTCTGGTTTAATAACCCATGCATACCATCTGATTTGCTAGAGCAGCTGGTGGAGCTCGGAGAAGAACTACAAAGACATACTTCTGGGGTGAATGTGCCAGTTCCACATCTGAAGTGGTTCATGCAGCACCTGGCCACCACAATGTCAGTCATAGCTTGGCTCACCTCCCTGAATCTACCTCAGAAACATTATGCAGGTTTTGCAAGTCACTCCAAGCAACAAAGCATTCCTGGTAGCTACATATCCTTGCAAATTTGCAGACTTTATACTTCCACATTAACCCCTGAGCAGCTGTATGTCACCAATGTTTTGGTGGAGAGAAGCTGAGAAAAAAAAGATACTCCTTTGTATAGATGGCTGAAACCTTTCTACAGCTCTGGTGCTTTCAAATCACTGTGAGATGTTAGACAGTGTTTGCTTAGTAAGGATGGCAACAACCAAGCAGATGACCACACACCTGAACAGACTGCAGTTGTGGAAGGCTGCTTTGGAGATGCTGGATAAAGCTAGATACAGTCCCAAACCTGTAGAAAGTTCTGCCCATGCTGCCTCCGTGCAATCCTAGGTATGGTAGAGATGTTTGGTAGGTACATCTAGGTATGGTAGTTAATCCTGAAACTGAGACACTGAACAACTAGACAGTTCCATCTCACCTTGAAACACAATAGTTGTCAAGAGACGGTTAAGCTGTCAGCTTTGCTATTCTCATACTAGAAGCAACAAAACTGTGGTGAACACTGTGGCATCAGGGGGATCGGATGGGATATTAGGAAAAGTTGGGGGTTTAAACATAAATTATAGAAGCTAAAATTACTGTTCTGAAATTGTGACAATATATGATACATTGGAGTAGGTGCAAGAACTTAGTTATATAAATACTGGGAAGGTACTGAAGCAAGATTGTTTCGTCCACTGCTGTAGAAATCTGTTGTTACAAAAGTAACTCTACCTCCTGATACAAACCTTATAACAGGAGTAGACACAGAGCAGAACTGCAGAGACTATCTGACAGACCTGGACATCTGTTTATCAGTCTCCATCATTTCCAGAAAATGCAAAAGGAGAAGGCAAAAAAGAAGACAAAAAACCAGAATGACTACAGAGCATCCCTGCGTCATCTCTCCGCAATGACTTTTCGGGTGCAGACGCAGAGTGAAATGCAGAGGTAGCTGAGGTGGGAGATCACCTGTTAGAAACGCTGTCTCCCTTTGGGGGACTCCAAAGCAACCTGGGGAAGAAAAAAGGATTCCCGTGGCGGACAAAGCCTTTGATTTTGGCAATCAGTGAAGAGCCTTGTCTGCCTGCACGAAGCAGGGGCTGCCCAAGGACAGGAATACTCCAGTTAAATGCACCAGGATGTATTTTGGTATGACGGCACCATCTGATCACAACACCGGTCTCACTGCCTGGCAGGCTGTTCTGGCAGCATATGGAGATGCCTGGGAGGACATCCTGGCAATTAACTATTCCACTGAATCAAAGATTCACCCCATGTTGTGCTGAGGCAGATTAACAGTAAAATCTGAGGTTTTATTCTAGTTCCAGAAATTTCAGCAGGGCAATAAATGCTGACAAATGGCAGTTAGAATTTGCAATTGCATTCTGGCAGGCTACTGACCCATCGCTGCCCTTGCTTCTGGTGTCTTTCTCAGATGATACAAGCTGCTTTCCCACTTAACTGCAAAAGGCAGGTAAGTACAGCTGAGTCTTGTAAGCATATGCATTTAGTTTCTGCATTTCTACAGATGATATGTGGCATTTGGTGATGAGGGACAGGTATGGGAATTAGGCGTTTGGTAGAGCCCAAAATATTTGAGTTGCCATGCCTGTAATTCAAGGTCTGTGAAAAGTCTGCGTGCTGAGGGAGCCTGAACGGGACTGAGCAAAAGCCTTCACATTGATCTGGACCAGAGCTTGCAGGAAGGATGGTACAGGCCACAGAGGAGCGCCTGGGCATACGTCTGACCTAGGCTTCACAGGATTCGAGCCAAAATTAAATCTTCAGCTCTCCTGAAGACCCACTGTGGGCACAAAAAAGCGGCTTTTGGAGAACAAGTAAAGGACGTCAACTGCAGAGCCCAAAGTTGCCCATGTGGCCTACAGTGCACTAACAGCATGACTGCACATTGCGAGCTGATAAGCAATCAGTACTGGAGAGACAGAGATACCTTGCAAAGACGTTTAAATAATGTACAGCAAAAGGGATCATTGTGTAGGGCACGCAGGTTTTCCCAGAAAGGAAAAGATCTCACCCATAAATCCTGATAGGCTTCTGGTGCTGAGAATAGGTCCAGCCGTTACAACTTCCGTATCAGAGTACTGGGAGCTGGTGAGAGCGGTGCCATAACCCAGCACTCTGCTTTAACTCACGCTCTGGTGTCGGTACCCCAGTCAGAGACCTGTACGCCTTTGGTTAACACTGAAATGCCGGTATTTTGTTCCTGCAGTGCCTGCATCACCTGTTGGGACAGAGCTGACCGCCCAGAGCGAGGGCCAGCGGTTAACTCCAATGTCTTGCTGCTGGCACGTCTGCAAAAGGCTTTGACCTCCCCCTTTCAGAGACACGTTTCAGCAACCTCTGAACCTCGCGAGGGAAGCTTTCTAACACGGCTCCAGGTCGCTGCTGGGCACTTCTGCACTGACGCGTAACTTCTCACTGGGAAGCGTGTTTCTGACTGCCTCTGAGCAGAAGCACGTCCCCCAGCAGGACCAGGGGTGGGAATTGTACAGTGACTCAGCGGAACCCGGGGTGCTCAGGGCCATTTCAACACAACGCCCCTTTATCTAAATACTTAAAGCAAGTGAGTAAGTTTTAAAAAATGGCCATGTTCATATCCTTCACTTTCCATGTCAGAATTATCCTCTTCTGACGTGGCATTTAGGCTTCTTTACGCACTTGCCTTTATTTTGCTATAAATGGGCTGGAAATTGGATGAAATGCTTATGCCTACCAGATCAAGTTCGCCTAAAAAAAACCTAATAATAATTAATGAGTCCCAGCACACTGAAGTTTTCTACAATGTAATTTTCATGCTAATGTTGCAAGACCTTGCTTACCTCTTGCACAGTTCCACCTGTTTGCTAAACAAGAGACCCCGCAGTCTCTTGCTGCAGAAGCTACCCAGCAGCACCAGTGGGGCTGTCAGCCTGTGGCTACAGAAGGGAGACAGCAGGAGTGGGACAGGAGAGAGCCACTTCACTGCACGTTACCTGGAAAGCCTTCCCAGGACCATTTTATAGCATTCACGCTATTTATTATGTGGCCACTGTGGACCAGAAAATTCAGTTCCTCTGGTCCAGTCTGAGTCTTACTGACTTGCACTATTACAATTTCAGTTTCTGAGAATATATAAAAAATATATATATAACTATTAACATACTTTGTTTTAATTTCAGCAAGGACAATTTTATCTTCTAGTAGTAAAAGTAGAACTGCAATACGCGTTGGCCTAGCTGGGCCAAAATGGAGGGAAAATTCTTCTTCTATTGCATTACTCAGCAACTACCAATTAAGTAAATCCTCACTAACGAACTGTAGAACGCTCTATTCTGCTACACAGTGAGTAGCATTAAGATAGGGACATCTTAATTTCAGGAAGCATTTTTGAACAATGGGATTTTTTTACGTTGGAGGACAATTTTAATTTTTTTTCTTTAAAAGAATGTACTACATTTTAAAATGCAATGCAATGCAAGTCAGAATGCTAGGATGACCCTGTAAGAATTGATAAATGAGATTACTAAAGAGACAATTGCAAAAAAATATATTCTTTTATTATGTCATTTGTAAGAACCTGTTCAAATTAGGAAGTCTGGGGTTTGTGAACTCACATGGGGGTGATGACTGCCACCACACCCAGGACGTGCGGTTCAGTGACAAAGGTTCCAAGGAAACCCTGCTGGAGCATGCAGCCAGTTTAGAGGGAAGGTGGTAGATCCCATTTTTTAAAAAATGTATTGCTCTGCTTTGCAAGGTTTCTTTTCTTTATTATTTTATACCCTTTAGGCCATAAAATAATAAATTTAAAAAAAATAAAAACTTTGCAAAACTATGCAATATATTCCAAACTTACCAAAGGGCTGGCTCCATGCTCCAGCAGCTTTCCTAAGTAGCTTTGACCTCACAGAATGGGGCATTCTGGGGCACCGCAGTGGAGCAGGCCAGCACAACGCCTAAGTACCTACAACGGGGATAAAAGGTTAGTTTTTCTTTCATTCCTTAGCGAATGCCTCCTTTGGTCTAGTTAATAACGGCATTAAAACGTACTCATCATTTTAACAACACCCAGCAAAGGAGGTTGCCTTCTCTTCCTGCTGGGCTCCTAAAATTAAGAGTTGCTTTTTAACTCTCAAACACCTCTAGCTGATCAAAAATTGAAGATGTAACTTCATTTCCATATGCCATTAGAAGTATTAATTTAGTTAATGGGAGTGGTGACAGACAATCATAACTTTACAGTAGAATCCTCTGAAGTCGAAATCTGGGCTGTAAAAAGTTGGGGAGGATTTGGGTATGCTAAACTACAAGGAGTAAAATGCAAAGTTGTAAAGTTTAAAGTTAGGACGAGTAACAGTCTAATAACCTCCAGGATATATTTTTTGCTATCACATTAAATAATACTCACTTCTACAATACTAATGAAATGGAAATGAGGTTCATAAGTGGAATTAATGAAGCTGTATCTAACGCCAGCTTTCTCTAAATGACAGTCGCAATTCAAGCAGCCTGCAATTTTTCTGGTTCTACAGGAACAAGAGGTAAGTGGCAAAGAAGAGACTGACATGATGGTTCATAAGATTAGAGTGTTGCTGGCCTGATCTCAGTTCCTTCAACTCCCTCGATTCCCATCTCTGCTTTGAAAACGGTATAGAATTTTCTATTCCTTCTACAGGCTACAGAGGGGCACAGACCTTGACTGCTTTCTGCCAAAGGCTTGCTGCCTCATTCACTCACCAGTCATTAACAATCTTCTCCTAAAAAAAGCTTAATACTATCAGTATTGGGAAGGACCTAAGGGCAGCAAATGCATATTTGTTGCAAATATAGTTCTGGAAGAAACAAAAATTTCTGTGTTCAGGAGAGTCACGGGCACCACAAATTACTTGGGTTTTGGACAGGCCAACATTTATCTGTATTTTGCAGCTCTACCGTGATGTTGCATAGAAGTTATCCTTGGACGCTCCATGTCCTGACACTGCCCCATACAACAATACACTCCTCAGCTGAACTCTCCTCTGGTGCTCCACAGTCCTGCCCTGGTCTCACTGAATGCACCATGGCAGATCTGGCTTAGCCCCCAGCAGAGCGAAGGCCTAACAGTGTTGACATCAGGGCATGCTGGAACACATAAGTCTATATAAGAAATAGTCAACTGACTTAAAAGATCAACAGTTTAAAAATTTAACTTAAACAGAGTGATTCAATTAAAATCTCAACATTTCTGAAAGGTTTCATTGCAGCCTCAATAATTTTAATTTTGTCTTGTGGAAATAACATATTAAAAAGAAAGATTTTTCAAAACAAAGAGATCTCTAATCCCTATGTATATTCTAAAATAATATTAGGGCAAGTATAGTTTAAATCAAGAAAAACTGATCAAGAATAAATATGATAATATGGTTAATCTTTGGCCCATTTAATATTTAATAACAAATATTTTAAAAGGGCAACAACACAGACCAATAGCCTACTTCTAAATAAACAATACTTGCTGAAAACAAATTGTTGCAGTTGTTATCAAATAATGCTTCCTTCAGGTATTTAGTAAATTGGTAAGAAGTTTATCTAGATTATTTATATTGCCCTGGATTATCTTCATTTTAGTAATTAAAAATAGCAATACTGCTAACACCAAAGAACCTCCTATGGAGGGAGCAAAGATTTCGGACTACTGTGACTCCACAGTGTCTTCATAAAATTGGGCTCCATTAACACTCCCATAGCTCTTCCTTTTTGCCTCCGCATCAACCCATTTAACTTCAAACAAACAAACAAACAAAAATTGATGGAACTGCTTTCAGTGCTGAACTGTAACTTCTCTGGAGTATAAAGATTGACAGCACTGTTAACTTTCTAAACTTCTTATTAACAAAAAAAGCTGATTTGCATTTCACTAGAAATGTTTTTTTCTGATAGCTTTGGTACTGCCATAGAAGTATCCTTCTGCAAGAAAACACATGTCCGTGCCTCTGTGAAAATCCCATCCGTAAGTCCTACAAATGAGGAAGTCCCCGGTATCTACTTGTGCTTTCAGATTACAGAATGAAAAAGAGGATGCCAAGAAACCACTTTCTTAAGGTAATATTGGTGGAGTGCTGCCTTCACCAAATAAAAACTAGCCACCCTCTGCAGAGACAGCAGTAAAACAGCAGGAGGTCAATGCGCAGCCTTGTTGATGCTCTGCGCTTGTCAGTCTAAATACCTACGGCCATGCCTGGCTCAAACAAAGCATATTCTCCTTACAGCACTCTTCATACAGCTTCCAGCACTTCCAATTGCCTACGTCAGTCCCAGAGGTATTGTCATCTCCACATCATGCGGTTTGTTGTGTTATAGTACAACGGAAACTGTATTTCAAAATTTGAGGAGAAACCTCACCTGCAGAGGCACCAGAGGACAAACCCAAGTCCACAGTAGGGGTCCAAGCAGATAGCAACTTCTCTGGAGGGATAAAGCTCACACTGCAGCTTAATAGAACGACAAAAGGCACTAGTGGCTGCGTGAGACATCTGAAAGACAACAGCAAAGTAATTAAAATGATCAACTATGTCATTCGGAAGGCTCATTCCCAAACTGTGCCAAGAGCTTAAATCAGTTACAGCATAAAGCAAACAAATAAATATTGACTTTGTGCTCAGTGTAAACACACATGTAATTTATATCTAAGAAAACATAATTTGCCTTCAAGAGGGCATCCAAATAACTGTGAAAGGGGAGGGGAGGCAGAATGAAAGGTAAGTTTGAAATGATTTAGGGAGAAAGCCGTGAGTGGTTTAAAGATGTGCTCCAAGCTGTATGCAAAGCTAATGATAACAAGCTAAACTTTCCGAAAGAACAAAGGAGTGAATGACTGCAGGATCTGAACAAAGTATTTTGCCAATCATCAGTAACATATTTCTAAGTACATATTTCTTAATACAATAAAAAAAAAATGCTAAAGTACTTTTTAAATGGAAGAGTAATTTGCATGCAAAACGGTACTAGGGACCTAATAATTCAGTGATAAAGAGCCCCAAAAAACTTAGTAAAGGTTCTGTAAAATGTCTTCACGTTATCCACCTCCTAATTGAGAAACAGGCTCTCAAAATCTGGGTAAGAAAGCTCTCAGTGACAAAAGAAGCAGAAAGCAGAAACAAAAAACCTGATCAAAAGGAAATTCTTCTGATTTTTTCCTAGCTTTACGATGTTTCCCACACTCACCCATCCCAGCTTAGAAGTTCTAACTACAGTGGGAACAGAATTACATCTTATCATTTTTGTCCTCTCTGTCCGTAACAAGAAAGATACCCGTGTTAGAAGTTCAGCCCGGATAGGATTTAACTCATCTTTGATCTCTGCCACATACAGAACTAGTTGCCTTATATACTGTTAAGAGTCAACGGAAGGGAACAGGCACTTCAAAGGCAAAATTTATTTGATCTTAAGGTAAACAGGGGAATAAAGCTCCAGAAGTGGGTCTTTCTCCATTGCCAATGAGAGCCATAACTGAGGCTGGACGTGTTCCAAGCGATGCTAAAGGACCCGCTCAGAACAGGTGTCCACACCGTGATCATCTGCAGTTTGCAGAGATTAATTCTACTCTAGCTGAATCAAGACTACTTTTTCACACAGGATTAAACTGAACCCTGTAGGTCCAGAACTTATGTTATTTTTTGAATTTTTACATCATACTGGGTGCACGCTATTGAAAAATTGAGAGTATACAGAAGTGGAATCTACTACTTCCAAAGCGATACAAAACATTTATCAGCTTTTCAGAAGCCACACAAGTTGTTTAGCCGTTTTTTAAATTTAGCACCACTGCATTATGAATATAAGCCCTGTGGCCTCTTAGGATCCTTTTACAATTAATTAATCACTAGTGATGATCTAGTAGGTGGTAACTGTTTACATAAACCCGCTGAGTCAGTGATCTGGAGGCTTTGTGACCCAGGTATCAGAAGCTAATCAACAATTCCTTGACAGATTTATCTGGATTTCCCTTTAGTCACATTAAGAAAAGATTTGTCGACTTTTCCTGCCTTTGACTATCTTTGAAGCTCTCCAAATACTGACTTTGCATAGCTAGTAGTCATTTCTGCAAGTCTGATAAGGTGGAATTCAGACCTGATTTAATACGGATGATTGCATCTGAAACAATCATTTAAGGCTCCCTTTCAAAGAAATGAAGACTTATGTGACATTCACCCCATTCAAAAATTGATGTTTCAGGTAAGTCAGATAAATTACACCCTGAAAGTCCCTGCTTCTCCCTGTTGATTACTGAGGAGCCCAATGACTAGTCCACATCTGCAGGCATCGTAGCTGTTTAAAGTTAGATGAAATGAATCTTCCAGGAGTGTCCAAAACCTGACCATCAGCCAGCTCATCCATTTAACCCCTGGTCACCCTTGGGCTGGTCACTTCACCGCTCTGTGCTTCAAATTCTCATCTGAAAACTGGAAAAATGATACTTTCTTTGTTTATAAAGCTTCTGAAAATAGATGGATGATGCCAAAGAGTATGAGAAATTCAGTATAGGCTGTAAAGTGTTATATGTCAGCAGAGATTGCTGAAGTAATCATAATCCTTGGATATGCAACAGATACTACAAAAGCAACAGGTAAGAAAGAATAAGAGAGTGCTTTTGCCTGTGTGTTGGTGAAACCAAAGCTGGAATAACCTAAGTTAGCAGCTAGGTAAAACAGCTTTGATGAATTGTGGCTAGCGGTCTGGAGAAAATTGCAGAATGGAGATTGAAAGAGCTCAAGATGCATGAAGAAGAGAAAATGGAAAACCAAAAGCCAGTAGCTGAGTTGCAGTAAGGAGAAAACAATGAATGGACACTGGAACCAGTAGTAAAAGGATGACTGAGTCTCATTTCCTTCATGAAATGGAAATAATAGATGTGTGAGCTGCAGAATGCTTCAGGCGGACAAACTAGTAGGCGATCGGCAGAGCTATTGGCAAAAAACTTTTAGTCTGAGGAGGAGGAGAGGGGCTAAACTTGCCACACACGGTACCATAGTCAGTATAGAAGAACTAATTTAAAGTTAGTGGAATCAAATTATGACTGCAAGGGAGGAAGCAAATCAATTTCTGTGACTAAAAATAAAGAGGAGTTACAAACCAGGAGCAATGTACCACCTGCCAGCCAGGCGTGACGGCAGAAATGTCAGTTTTAACAAGAAGTCCCTACCTTTACCCCTGCTAGCATGCCAGTTGTAGAGACGCTGAAGTCAAGGTAAGCAAGCGTTTCAGGGTTAGAAGGTTTGTAGATCTGTGCAGGCCGCTTCTTTGGCAAATCATCTAGTGAAAACAGAGAAAGAAAATGTGTGCATCTTACTCCCAAGACATGTAGACCTCTGAGTGCTTGACAAATACAACGATAAAAGAAGACACAGAGGTCCCCTAGCCTTAGCACTCACCTGTATCCAGTACCGGAGGCCATGTTCTGACATCCACTGCTGCTGCTGCCTCTCGTGACCGTAACAATTTACATATTAATTGTGTCGTCATTAAGCAGGCAGAGCGGCTCACCTAGGAATTTAAAAAATAAATAATAACGCAATGGGATATTGATTATTTCTCCCACGAAAATGAGCAAGACCATGATTTATTTTTCTGCCAGAACAGGACACGGGTATATTAGTCTTATGTTTTCCAATCAGCAGGTGGAAAGACGCACAAAAAATGCAACTCAGAGAGCAGAGTGAGTTTTACAAAATACATGAAAATTGCACTTTCAGAAAAACGTTGTAATGAAACTAAAGGCACCTTAATAGTAAGAATGTGACTCTTCCAACACATTATACCAGTTATCAACCTAGAATGCCAGTACAGAAGACTGTGACTAAAACACTCCCTATGTGATCAGAATACATCTTGGTTTATAAACAGCATTTTCACATAAACCAAAACCTAGTCTGACACTTATATGAATAATTTTACTATCTGAAGTCATTTTTATGTTACCCATATACTTTCAGTTCCTGTGCTTAGGAAAAACCACTGGGAACTCTTCTGATACCAGCAAAAGTAGACTAGAAATTGTGCAAGTAGCACTAAGAAGGGAAATTGTGAGTTTACTGCAAATACCATCTGCACTGAATTTTAGATGATACATGCCGAAGGTATTTGCCTTCTAGATTTGCCATTTTTAAAAATTCAAAAGCAGCAACTACAAGAATATTTCTTACTGATTATAAAATTAATATATTTAAGGAAATATTCACACAAACATAAATATGAACACTGTTAATCACTCACGATAGTACAGAGGAAAAACTGAAAAGGGAGCATCATTCTTTTCCCCACACTTGGAGAATCTGTGCAAATATTGCTAAGAGTATTTTTTTCTTTAAGGAACCTGAAATGTTTCATTGCACACTGTATTTCCAGTGTTCAACCTAAGGAAATCGGTAACCGTATGTACAATGAATTTTACAGCGAGCAGAAGGGATCAGCTTCTATTGACAGTAACCTCGTGGAGGTCAGCTTTATAGGTCAACTTTACAAAGCACATGAAGACATAACGAGCACAAAAGCACGGACCCAAGCTGTACTTAATTCCTCTAACCCCATGATTCCCCTGTTTGGAATATCTAAATATTTCAAGCTAAAAGTGAAGACAAATGAAGCCACTGCAGCATCCCTCAATCCAACCATGTCACTGTCAGGACAAGGCAAGGTAATTCCTATATATCTAATCTTAGCTATGAAAATCTTGATCTGGGATTTACAGAATCCGTAAAATAAAAGGAATTTCGAGAGTTAGTGGTTACTAGCCCTCTTAGGAATTATATTATCTGGAAGATCAGGAGGTTCATTAAAATGCAGAATGTCCATGCCTGGAGAGTAGCAAGCTGGAAATAAACACGTAGGGACAGTGGAAAGGAGAAAGAAGGCAGCAACTGCTCGAGATGGAGCTCAATAATGTTCAGTTATATTTTACTATACTATACTATACTACACTTTACTACTACCAGTTCACCACCAAACCAAAATTATGTAGGCTAAACTTTGCTTAGAAGTCATTCTTTTTGACTTCAAAAGGTGCTGTGTAGACATACAACATGTCAGAGTAGGCTTTGACCCCATCAAACCAGCAAATTTGTATGATTGCACTGGCAATGACAGAACAGCCTCAATATTTTAATTTCTACAAGGCCATCCCTCCCCAAAATGAAGAAAATCTTGTTTAAAACAGAGCTGCGAGGCTTTTAAGTCAAACTGGCATTAATACGGCTAATAAATTTTAATATTTTCTTTAAAGCTAGTCTATTGAAGGGACAATGATTACAAGTCAGCTTAGATCTGTCCTAGTTTTTCATCATGAAAACAAACAGATCTAGTCTGGCTACTAAACACCAAAGGAAAAACAAAATAACAGATTTTACACCACTTCTGCAATTTTAACAAGTGACGTTTAAAAACAGTGAGTGCCAAAATATTAAATAGTGAGAACCCTGGAGACAATGGGACAATTTCTCATACCTCTACTGATATTTTGTGGCATCTGGTGCCATAAGGTAAGCCACAAATTATAACTATCTCTAGTACTTATTACATGAAAATGTCAACATTCATTAGAAATGTTAAAATCACATTTGTTTCAACTTGTTTTTTCAGAGACTCAGAATTCCACTCAATGAATTAGAAACTGCCAGATGTAAAAAGTTATCTCTTTGCAACCATTTAACTTCCCTCAGTAACAAGCACAATGAGGTTATTTATATGCAACAAAGACTAAACATTATTAGATAAAGCCAAAATATCAAAAGAAATCACTGAATGAAAAAGACTGAGTAACACTTCTTTGGATGAAACAAAACATCGAACAACATCTTCACAACAGAACTTTGAAACTGCTTCAAACTGTGAAACAACTAGATGCATAGAGCTGAGCACAAACCACCACCAGGTCAAACTATGCGTTCCATTGGGATTTTTCTCTACTTTCTAAAGTAGTCAATGTAGTGTTGCCAGGTGAGAAAACCAACCATTCCTGGCATATAGCTAAATAAAGCGCTTCAAATATACTTCGTGAAAGTGGTAGCAGAACTGCAGCAAAATGCAACAGCAGAAGTCAGCAGGTTGTGTACTGTCAAGCAGTGTTGACTGCAACACACTGAGGTCCTGAATCTTCGGAAGGAATACAACTCTTCAACCTACACCACCAGTCACTGAAGTTACCATTCCTAAAGACTACACAAATCCATCGCCCATTTAATCTACTTGTGCATTTTCAGGTGTCTGCTCACCTCCACAATCATCTTCACTGTAGGTAACGTGGTAGCTATGTTCTGGGGATGTGGAGGTCGAACGGTTATTGGCACACAGCCCGCATACAGGCATCCGTAAAATGCGGCAATCAGGTCTATTCCTGCATGAAGAACAAAACAAAAATCCTACCCTGAAAATCAAATCATTTAATCACAGACATCTATGTCAGCATAAATATTACTTGGAACTCAACTCAGAAGGTTAAATGAGTGACTAAGCCCTTTAAAAGACTTCTTTCTCAGCCCCTTGTCAGTATTTGTTCAGCTTCACTGATTCCTTTCAATTGTACTGTTCTTCTGAGCATGAAAAAGCAAAGGCGACACACAAAGCTGCAGCCAGATATCATCACTTAGGTGAACTCCACTTTTATGATCAGGAAGTAACCTGTCAAAAAGACTGATTTCTACGAATTAATTATCTTCTCACGTTTACATTTATAGACAAATGAGAATCTACAAGAAGAGGGATGCCCCAGCAAAAGGATGAGGTAGGATGATGCCTGTTCCTACCAGCTGCAGAAAGAACACCTGGAGGTTTTATTAAATAGTCTTTCTCATGTCATTTTTAATCTCAGATATGCAGCTTTGACTTCTCTACCTGAACTTTTATAGTAAAAAAGAGAGTAATGATTTTGAAATCCTGCTTCTAACATAAAATTAGGTGTTGCTCCATATAAATATTGACTACTGCTGACAGACTGTTGACAGCACACTTCAGGCTATCCAAGGAGGCTGAACAGACAACAGCACAAAGATCCCTTGAATACTGCTGTTTGATAGCTCCCCGGTGCTGTACACAGGCCGTGACAAGACGACAATGGGGGCTGGTTTATTCTTTCAGTGGAAAAGGATCTGCAGTACTGGTAGGTTACTGTTCCTTCAATAAAATGCTTTATTCATGGGAAGCAAAATACAGAAAATAAAAACTTATGTTTTAAATACTGATCCTCTTTTGTGGAAAAGGTTTTCTCATATTAACCACTGAGAAATTACTGCTATAAACTATGAAGATTTAACCAGTATCTTGCACCCCTTACAACTAAATATCACAATATAGACCTTCAATCAGACTGCTTATTTCATCAACACACATGAAATGCTGAAGATAAAAGAGCAGCACTAGATCAGAAATAATTTCAAACAAATGTCAAACGTGGTACCAGTCAACACAAGCTTAAAAGCTCTTATGTCAAAGGATGAAAATCCAAGCCACAGAGAGCTCTATAGGTTAAAGATCCATAGAGAAAACAGTGATTACAATTTGCTATTTCTTCATTATCTGTGATTTATTCATCATATTTCTACTCTAAAAAGCCATGAATCACTTCCTACGTATTGCTGCTTTACCCACATGAAACGCAGCCCTTCCAAGAGGGAATTCAACAAGTGGATCTAAGAACACTCAGCAGATGGAATATTTTAGCAGAGCTGGCTGCTCCAATAGTAGTACATTACCAGCAAATTAAAAGACAAGAGAAATTCAATTTGACTGCTTATAACAGACAGGTTTTAAAAACACAGGTTAATCTTAATCTGAACCCAAAGAAATAGTATCTATGTGCATACACAAGAGAAATTTTTTTAAGTATCTTTGACTAAGTTCAAAGAAATGTTCATAAGGCAAATACTGTGTTTTGCCACTGAACATGGTTTGCAGGTTGGTAACACCACCAGTGCAGCACCGTTCTAAAGGACCTTGATAAATTTTCGGGACTACTAAGGGACTGGGCAGGGCAGTTCTTTACCTGGTGGGTAAACCAAAGCCACGTGGTCTCCATCTTGTAAATGCCCCCTTTCCATCAGCATGACAGCTATCTTCTCCGCTCGTTTATGTAGCTGGACACATGTTAGCGAGTTGGCTATTGTTCCCTGCACAGGAAGACAGTTAAACGTCACAGAAGATAATGCAATGTGCTGAAGCTCTGTTTTCCTCTGCACTTTAGAAGTTACTGGATAAGGTGCAGCCACAATATGTCACGCAATCAACTTAAATACGGAAACCTTCAGCTTTATGTCAAACGGCAACTGGAAAGAAAAAAGATGTTTGTAAAGCAGAGGAATGATCTCTGTTCTTTTCTCTGTACCTTCTACCCTGAACAGTGTGTTCGCTCTAACCAAGGGAGTACAGTAGCACGGTAAGATCCTGCCCATGTAACCTGTACTCCCTCCCTTGCTACCCAGGCAGCACTCCTGCTACAGCCAGGAAAGTGCTTCATGGTCTCTACAGCGATCTGGAGAATCTGTGGAGAGCACTCCTGAAAATTGCACTTCGTTGTCTGCACGCTGGAGTGAAGCCAAACGGCACAGCAGAAACACTTCAAAAGACAAGAGACAAAAGACACAGGAGAAAACAATTCTTTGTGATGGGGAAAAGAATTAGTCTGGAACAAAAGCTAAGCACATGCATATAAATGAAACAGAGAAGTAAGGCATTTGTTGAATTTGCGTAACTGGTCAGCATGAAAGAAAAGGGGAAGTGACAATACGCTACAGTTTGGCTTTTTGAAGCACTTCAAACAGCGCTAACTCAAAACTATCAAACCAAAACCTTGTTTTATACTGGATTAGTATTATGTTCTTAGATTTCCTAAATATATATATGTGTGTACATATGCACACACACAAATACACATTTAAAGAAATATATACATCTGTATCACAAAATTCACTACCACAGCTGACACCTCAGAAGACAAGTCTGAAAATGAACGCACAGGACAGACTGACTGCGCCTAGAGCTGGTCTGGCCAGGTCTGGGCTGAGATAACGGGACAGGGCAGTACGGGAAGGGCTGCACCTCTGCTTGTGCATCTGTTCTGTGGAGAAAGAGGATTTCAGCCTGCACTTCTGCTGTGAAATACCTGGCACTCATCACAAGCACTAAGTTAACTTAAAAATAGGGAGTCTGAAAAAATTGAGGGGAAAAAAGGTAAGAATATATATATATGCACACTTTAAATGAACAATGTATCAAAATCACAATGCAATGCAATGCAAAATATTGTATCACTGTCCTTCTTAAGAGAGAAAGCAAGGTGGTCTACTGTTTTAAAGAAATATTCTTTACACTCTATTTTAACAAGGAAAGGAATAATAAGCATTTGGCCTGACTGCTGGTTTCTATCCACCATCACCATCCCACGCACCACCACAGTATTTATTGACCACAAGCTTCAGAGAGGAGAGAGCATGTCACCAGGCATCACCTGGCATGTACAAACTATAAACTGTCAACAAAGAGGACAACCTAACTGAAAATAAAAAGGACAAAGTCAGAGCTTAGTATTCCTCTTCATCATCTTCAGCAACCACACTTACTGAAATGCACTTCAGGCAATTTTAATCAGTCCTCTCGACAATGCGGAGATCATTTCAGTAAGAAAGCTTCCTCTAAAGACATATGCAACTATATGGATGGTGGACTAAATATGGCTTCCATCTGTCCAGCCCTAAATATGGCCAACGGGACCTGAGGTCTGGGTGTCCTTGTCACTGTAGACCTGCTAGTAGGAATCTGCTTAAACTCTTCATTCTTCCTTTTAAGAAATTGCCTGTTTGCACAGTCATGGGAAGAAGCACCCTTTATATCCCCACAAACATCAGAAACACAGGCCCCCCTGACACAGAATCCCAGCATGGTAGGGGTTGGAAGGGACCTCTGTGGGTCATCTAGTCCAACCCTCCTGCCTAAGCAGGGTCACCTACAGCAGGCCGCAGAGGACCTTGTCCAGGCGGGTCTTGAATATCTCCAGAGAAGGAGACTCCACAGCCTCCCTGGGCAGCCTGTTCCAGGGCTCCGTCACCCTCAGAGGGAAGAAGTTCTTCCTCATGTTCAGACAGACCATCCATGATCCACACACCGGCCTCATCCCACCGATCCTCTCCGGAGTCTTGCAGAGCACCCTCCCGCTCTGCCCTGTCCACCTCTTCACGGGAGCTTGCTGCCTGCTGCCCTGGAGCTCGGCAACGGGGGTCCCCACGCACGGCCACACTCCTCCTAATGCACCCCAGGCCACACTCCTCCTAATGCACCCCAGGATGCCATTGGCCTTCTTGGCAGCCAGAGCACACTGCTGGCTCATGGTTAACCTGTCGTCCACCAGGACACCCAGGTCCCTCTCCACAGAGCTGCTCTCCAGCAGGTCCGCCCCAGGCCTGAACTGACGCATGGGGTTGTTCCTCCTCAGGTGCAGGATCCTGCATTTGCCCTTGTTGAACTTCATCAGGTTCCTCTCTGCCCAACTTACACAGTTGGGAATCATTGCAAATCATGCAAATTTGTGCAAAACTTGTTCACATTGAAGACTTTTGGCACTTGCTACAGATGAACCAGAAGAAAGACTGTTTATGTGAAGTGCAGGGAAGGAGAATCCTGTTGTTGGACAAGAATCATTGGCAAGCACCAGGCAACTATTCCCTTCGGGTCTTTTATATGAGGTCTCCTGCAACGTAAAGGTGTTGCAATCCTTCATGACACACACTAAAAACAACGCACTGCTCTAATTTTGAAATATTCCAAATTCTCAAAAAGCTTGGGTTACAGGAAAATACTAATCTCATTGGATTTCTGTTAGTCATCCACTGCAAGATGCCTGGATGTTTCAGAACAAAGCCTACAGACAATGTGCAAGGAAGACAAAAAGGGAAAAGTTACAAATCAGAACTGAAATTCAGGATGGGTAATAAAACTTGTCTAGGCTAAATCCCACCAAACCTGTCACTTCTTTCCATAAAACATCAAATCTCTCCATAAAGTATTACATCTCTCCAAACAAATTTCATATGATACGATACTCCACACTGAGAGTAATGGAGAAACTGAATTTCAAAATTCAATTATCTTTCACTTCCACGGAACGAGAAATTATTTTTTTAATCCTTGTTTTGCACATTGTGTCCTTCCCTCTCACTGTTTGAACCCTTTTGCCAGCATGGGAAGTCTGGCTTTATTTAAAGCTTAAAAGCAACAGCCTGTGTGGAGGAGACAGGACAGTACACATCATTGTCTTCCTCACAGCATCTTTGCTCCTAACTTGCAGGACAGAACAATGCACTGTTTGAATGGTGTAATATTGAATCTATAAACAGCCTTGCCTCTCAAGATTTCTACTTTGCCACAGACAACTACATTACTACTTCACTATTATCTGTCAAGTTGCACTTCTTTGCATCATATTAGCTATTAATCTGAATTTAAAAAGGTCATTTAATGACTTCTTAGTAGCCTCAAACTGAACTTTGGTACCAGCACTGTAACATGGGCTGGGGAAGCATATCCTATAAATAGAGTAAGTGATCCTTTCACAGAAGTTCACAAATTACCGGAGGTTTAAGATCCCATCCAAGCTGAGCAGGGACCACATGGGCTGAAACAACACCAGCTACTCCAGGTGGCCCAGGAGAATAGCACTGCTCAGGCCCCTCCTCTCTTGGAGACCCTCACACACTACGTGTGTTTCCCAGTTTTGATAAGATGTGTCTAGATGTACTGTGGTGGGATGGTTTGAAATCAGACTTTCATTCCTTGCAGTGGTCTTGGAATTAACGGTTTGTCATCTACCATCATCTAAGAAGTCTGTAATCACCCACTCTTAGTAAAGCTGAGCTCTGCACCACCTCACATGCATTAATTCATTTTTGATAAGCAATGAAATGCTGTGCCAGGCTGGCACCTCATGTAGGCTGTGCAGGCAGATTTATTAATGATTCTCTGCAGACTTGGTTGGATTCTGGACATGCCTCTTCTTCTTCTCTTCACCTCCTTTCCCCATTCTCACACCTCCCTCAGACAGTTCAGTCTCAAAACCAACAATCATTGCTTTATTTAGGGAAAATGCTTTGATTTTGCCAAGCCTGTGCTTTTCAAATTGGAAGTCAGTATGGCGAGCGATATGAAATACTACTCTTTGGTACAGGAACAATCAGTATGGAAATAGATCTGCTCAGACACAACATATATGTGGTGGAAAAAGAAATGAGAAATGTGTAAGGCACGCTGTCTGATACAAAAGCAATCTATATTTTGACAACTGGCAATGATTATTCTCTCTTCCTTTCTGCCTCGGTGGACATTAAATATAACAGCCGAGTATTAACGGGAAAAGAAACAGAAAGGTCGCACTGAGTCACAGCACAAGCAGGTGCAGCTGCAATACCAGTGTGCCATTTTCCACACCGCGGCCTGTCAGAGTCGTGGCCTGAGCTTCTTACCCTGCAGTTGAGTAGAGTGTAAAGCACGTGGTCAGGAGTGGTCTGAGCTCTCCACTGCAACACTTCTGAGAGGAAGAGGAACTAAAATAAAGCAGAGTGATAGTCATGACACTAAATAATTTTTTGGCTTTAAAAACCAGATAACCATTTTTGCTAATTTAGCTACGTCTTTCTTATTTATATGCTACATTTTACATCGATACCCAGAAGCACTAAACCTGAATTAATTCTCTTATCATCACACATATTTATAGCAAGGTGCTTTTGCACGGTAGCAGCGGCCTCTCTGGAAGTGAAGCCACTGCTGGGATTATGATATATTACTACTTACACTTTCAAAGCAATAAAATAGTTTTTACTGATCCCTGAATTTAAGCACAACTTTAATTCTCTAGCTTCCTCTCTTCTTATTATTATAAATATATAAATATTTATACAGCTTAGAACTTACTAATTTAATTACTCACATAAGCCCCCAAAAGAGCTGATTTTCAGCTTAATTTGACAGGATCAAAATAACAACAGATAAGGTCAGGACTATATATGAAAACAAAACTCCCTGGACTCCACTTAAACTAGTAAAAAAGATGTAACAGAGGGTGATTTCTGGTAGAAGCCCCACTAACACTTTCCACCATGTTTCTTCTGATGTCCCATGTAAATTTACAAAAAAAATCCATACAAATGAAATACAGCGATCCCCCCTCATGTCTATTTTATATTTATCTGTAAAGGGGATCCTGAAATACTTTAGTGTGAACTAAAAAAAGAAGTTAACAAATTCTGCAATAATGATAATACAATCTATATACTGCTAAGGGTCCTGATGTTAAGTAGCTAAATATAAGCCATATCAGAATAGTTTAGCTTACCTTTCTGGCTTGGTCATTATCTTCTATTTGCCCCAAATCTCTACCACTGGCCTGTGCAATTCTTTTTCCAGAGACCAAGTTCCCTACCATCACAGAGGCAGGGCCAATTTCTAGAATAAAGCAGAAATGTGCCAACTGCAGTAAAAATCCTTCACTTGTGGATGAAAATTGTTTTTGTTTCTTTTGCTTTACATGATATTTTCCTCCTTGTTATCCACACCACCAAACCTTGAGCACACCTCCGCCGACACAAAATTTGGCTGATGGACCAGAAGTAGCTGGAAGATAGGCAGGCCTCTGAACATACGTAACTAAGGAGCCCATTTAGCATGTGCTCTCTGCTGTCAGAGACACATCTTGTCTGCCTTGATATGAGAAATTTTTGGAAAATCCAGCTCCTAATTTAGGCATGTCCATTTCAGTGCCTAAAACCAGATAAGATCTATCCAGGCTTCAGGAACAATGTTCCTATTTCTCTCTCCTGTTCCCTGGGCTAAGTTGCATCTGTATTAGCAAATCTGTAATGCTATAGACATGAAGCGACAAGGATTAGGAAGGCAGATGGTGCATATGATAAAACATATGCAAGCCCTTTAGCACAAGGTAGAGACTGAAGAAAAATAACTTCACAACAAAGGAAGATGTCACAGCTGACGCTTCTCCATGAGGTGGATTTCACTGATGCTGTGTTGCTGCCATTAGGGAAAAATACCTGTCCCTCAGATACCATTTACACTCATGTAAACATTTGGATGAATTACTGATACACTGCAGTAGCTATCAGGCTTTACTTCTAGTCTGTGATGGCCAAGCTTTGTCTCAGTGATGGTGTATGGCATAAGGGTCAAAATACAAGATGTGTAACCAACCAGATAATGTACAGTAAACAACACCTACAGACCACCCTGCTTTAAAAACATGAAAGCAGTATCCTCTGGGTATATCACAACTATGAAAAATGGGAGAATATGATGCTATCAGTTTAGTTTCTGTGTTCCTGGCATTGCTTTTACCATAGAGATATATAATGTATACATAATGCATCTGTAAGTATCTCCACTGCACTGATTCTAATTCAGTGATTACTTTGTGAAGCAGCAACAAGGAAATACTGAAGTGAGCATGGCAGTGAAAGGCTTCACTGCTTTCATTAAGCTAGTGGAAGTCATTGTTAACCTCTGACATTGCCAGTATCTGCAAACTCAGATTATGGTTTTGATTTCTGAAACATTTGTCCAAAGGTTTTAAATAAACAAACAAGCTGACGGTTTTCACACACTTGCACTGAAATCATGATGGACAGTCCTTGTATTTGAGATCCAGAGGGTAAAACCATTTCCTATTCCAAGCTGGTTTTTAAAATGGAAAGTAACCAACACTTAGCCTAATTAGCTGAATTCGGGTCTTAAGCCTGAGGCTACAGATTCAGAAATCCTCGAAATTAATATGAGTACTAAAACCTGCAATTGGATTTAAAGTAAAAAATTTTTTACAATTTGCTTGTTCATTAGGCATGAGTAACCAGCCACTGGACTACAGCAGGCTACCAGGGCTTTCTCAGTGTCCTGAGTCAGTGCCTTGCTGCACCACTTCATCCAGTATTCTTCATAAAGTGTGGCAGAACTTCCAAAGAATCATCTTAAAACTAGTCAGGGTTCTCCCTCAAATATGCCTGCTGTAAGAATAACACAGAACCTCCCTACTCAGGTAAAAACATTTATCCTCTTTCTTAGGTTTAATTTATTCATGGCCAGTTTTCAAGTATTTGCTATGCTTCCAACACTGCTATTGTCAACAGTCCTCTTCCTCTCTACTTCTACTTTACAAACTCAGCCTTCAAATAAGCCAAGAGTTTATCTTTCTCTGTTTTGGTTTCAGCCCATCCTCTTTAAACACTACTGACCAGCATTTTACAAAGAACTCCAGGTGTTGTCTCTCCAGTGCCTTGTAGAGTGATAAAAATGTCTTAATTTTCACCAAAGTTAGGGTTTTGGAGCATTTTTGCTTGGGCTCTTTGTGAAGGTACTTCTAGCTTCTGCCAAAACCAATGATGTCCTTAACACACCTGGAATATTTAACAGGAACAACTGATCGAGCCGATTCTCACCTGCATTAGCAGTTACTTGATCTTGCTCCATACAGTACCATCAACATACAGCATTAAGTCACGGTCCCTTTGCCTTCACTCTTCTTACCTGGTTGCTTCTGCCTTGGTTTAGGCAGGTTTGTTACACATGTGTGGGGGCACATTAGCACATTACAAGGATGCAGCGACCCTTCCAAGAAGAGCTGTTTGGTTTCTGACAGGTGTATTCCTCCCAGCGGCGTCTTGGGAAGCGTGTTTGCTGGTACGAGTGCTAAGCAGTAGACTCCCACTTGATGAATACTGTCAATAGCCTTAAAAAAGCAGGAAGTCAACTTTAATGAAACGCTAATTTTTCATCATTCTAATAAGCACATGTTGTTCTGAATTACTGCATAAAACAACCCTAATAATTAACTGGCAATGGAAAGACACTTCAGCAATGTCAGTGATAAGGAGGTTCTTTTCAGTGGGAACAGGTGGAGGGAAATGTAGCACTGATGCTATTACACTCACTCTAGAAGATAAAAAAGCAGACAAAAACCTAGTGATAAATATACAGAAATCTACTAAGAAGTGCTACCTAGGCATCCCTTAGGCACACGTTCGTAGCACTTATCCTGGAGATTTATTACGAAGATGGGCTGGCAGCTCATGTGAAACTGATTTTAACTGGAGCACTTCTCAGAATTAAAGTTCAAAGGATTCCTATCAACTTAACATCCAGTCCAAGTTGCACATATATCACCATATACCTACTGATGTATGTAGCTTACAAATTTTTTAAATTTTTCTAAGATAATCACTGTTTCACTGCCTGATTACTGTGTAAAAGAGCCTCAGGCAGGAATGGGAATTGGTACAACATAAGGGAAAACTATGAAACTATCCACTTGAAAAAAAATCCACTTGAGTGAGAACCTGAAAAATAAGCACCTGCAAATCTTATAATAACCACGTTCATTGTCCGGCAAGTGGAGTAAACTGCAACACTTTCAAAACCTCTGTAATGTACAGTACCTATGCAATTTATTTAGTTAAACATGAATATCCATGCACTTAAGATTTTAATTCCGTACACATTTTAACTGGTTATTTTCCTTACATTGGTAACATCAGTTGCAGCAAGTGAGTTAGAAAACAACTTCAGACACCCAAGCAGACTGAGAAACAACGTACAGACAACATCTCTAATGACTAGTTAAATGTTCAAAAATGTAATTACTTAACTTGCATTTTAATTTTTAACTGTAAGAACAGTGAATGCATACATCTACTGCCTTGAAGATACAACCTATATTTGGAGAATCAAATAATCATTTACACTTATGTACTTAAGTGTAGACCAATAAATTACTGATTACTTCAACAGAGTCTCCAAGAAATGCTTTGCTTTTGGCTTCTGTTTGCTTCATTTTTTATTTATTTGATTGCAAAGTTTCATAAGAAAGAATAACAAAGCAGTTACTCATTTCACAAACATTGCCGTTTTAGTAGTGGTAGATCTTACGGTAGTATTGGAAGATCTCGTTGCTGGTCTACATACACCTTACCTGAAAGATCAGCAATAGTGACATATGTATATGATAGCCAACACACAATGTCTCATGTTTCTGGCGAAAACCATCATAACATCCTAATCTTGATGTTTTTTGTAGGTTCTGAAAAGCAGTGATACATCATGGGATCCTCACTTGATATCAGCCTGAAGGAAAACTGTTACGGGGCAAGTAACCACTCTTACTGAAACATACAACAGTGTGGCTTCTGGAACTGGTGAATGGAAAGCAATAATCAGCTGGGATGGAATCAGGGGTGTTACATATAATGATTCCCCAGTGACTTCTGAACTCTCTCCTTTGATAGCTACCTCTGCAGCACAATGCTTCATAAAATGTCATGGGTCATTCAAAACCATGACCTTTCACACTTTGGAACTTGGCACTGACGAAGGGAATGACTTTGTTTCACAAGGATGAGCCCTAATGAACTAAGCTTTAAAATTTTGTGAGAGAAGATTACCAGTCAGTTTTAATACTGCTGTCATTTATGCCTCTTGATGAGATGGCTTGGTTTTGAAATGACTGTCCAGCCAGAAGTAAACAAGAGCATCTGAAATCTTTATCCCTCTGTTTCATTGAGAAAATTGATTAGAGATACCAGAACTTGCAGAGTCCAAATTGCTACGTCATTCAAACTAAGAAAACATTCCATTCTGACAAAACTCTCCAGACAGACACTCTCCAGTTCTGCAGTAGATCTCTTAGCTTTTCCTTGTCTGCGAAGTCCTGCCAGTGTGCTGGCACTGGTGAAACTAACTCCAGTCTGCCAGGTACCGGAGCTCCAGCTCTGCCTGAAGGGTCCGATCAGCTTGCAGCAGTCTGGGAGATGAATGAGCATCTAGGATCCATCTGACTGATCTGCTGGGTGACCTGGGATCTTCACGCACGTTGTCACTAAAATCCCATACTCCTCCACTACTCTCAAGAGTCTCTCTACGCTGCCTGACCACTCCCTCCCAACCATGTCTCTGCTAAAACCCATAGATGCAGCCCAGCATAGTCCCATACGTATAGCAGCTCCACCATCCCTCAGCCCTCTGCTGAGGAGCAGGAAGGGCCAGGGAGAGTCAGAACAAGGTACAACCCATTGTTAACAAGTCCTGCAAATCGATGCAGCTCAACTCTAGGGAAGAGATGTAGAGATCCCGCAAGGCACAGCAGAAGCAGGCAGTGTTGGGCAGGGCTGGCACAAGGCCGCACACGCAGGGTGTCAGACAAGTCTCACAAATATCGTCAGAAATGAGTAGTAATTTGGTAGTTTGTTATCATGGATGCCATTGACAGTCATGACACAAGTGTGATACTGTTACATTGCTCAGCACTAGCAGATGATTCAGATAGAACTGGTTACTACTTCCCGATGTCTGTCATTAAACATCTCATTGGGAAGGAGGCACAATGCATCCTGCATATTCCTGGCTTCTGTCCTCCATCTCCACTCTCAGCTGAAGTGGAACCAGAAACTTCTTGTTCACATAGTGACGCATGCCAGAGCTGCAGACTTCGCACAAGTGTGATGAAAGCAGCCACACAACACATGTGTACTTTGATATACAGCCTACCACTCCCAGACATTGCTGGGACTTGATCACACTCAGTATACCAGGATTGACTTTTGGCAGGAGCAACTTTACACCAGACTCCCACATTGTTCAGTACTGAATTTTACTGGCTACAATGATGTAGGACACAATTTCTCTGGAAGTCACAAAAATGCTCAGCTGACTAAACTGGAGAAGTGTCAAGTCCAGAATTTCAACCTTTTCTTAGAGGCTTGTTACCTGATCAATATTGTGAAAGCATGGGCAACCCAAAAGCGCCTCCTTCTAAAATAGGTTGCTCTAGGTGCCTTCAAAGGCTTTCTGTGTGACAGACAAGCTAGAAGTTCTAGCTTTTCTTGGTAATAATTTAGATCTACTATGAATATGAGATGTCTCTAGCTGTACGAAAGGTACTTATGTCCTAAATCAAGAGAGCAGACAAACCTGTCTTGAGATGGATGAAAGCTTATATGTTCAGTCCCTTCAAGGATATGGTAGACAGATTCCCTTTCTTACCCAGTATAAAGCAGTAACGAATAAAAACATCTTCTACGACTCGTGTGGGATCTTTTTCTTTGGCTCTTGGGTACAGCAAAAAAGATGTTTGCAATATATTTGCCTGAGAAGAGTCCTTGAGGAAGGACAGAAAGGAAGGTAAGTGGAAGTAACAGGTGACCAGCTGTAGACAGAGCTGAGACCATTTCACAAGGTAGCAACAGACAGACTCTATTTGACTACATCTCCATTAAACCTATTGCTTTTGAGTGAGAATTGACTTTGACTTAACCACGAAGATGAAGGAGATGGAAGATGACTGCTATCTAAAGTATCTAATTTTTTGCGCTCGGACATTCAAGCGGAAAAAACTTTGAGTATGGTAATAATATTGCCTTAACCTGGATTGCTATATGTAAGAAGAAGATCAGAATTTTTTAGTATTCAGTTGCTTCTGTCTTCTGGTCAAAGTGTCCACAACACCATCAAGGCGGGTTTCATCCCAGCAGTATGTGCCTTGCGTGATCCACCTGACAGCTGGAACGGGATTCCTTGCAATAGGTGTCTTATGCAGATAACCTCACTGTAGAGGCTGTGTTTCATTCAGTTTATTTTGGCTATCAACATGGTGCACTAGACACACATAATTCTCTCCCATTGATTAAAAAAAAAAATCTGGAGATCTAGCTCAGATACATACATTTGCTTTTGATGGGGTCAACTCCATACCAGTGCCAATAGCTGTTTAGTAAGAGACTTTGGTAGTCTTTGGTAGAGGCTTTGACAGTACGAGTATACAAAACATTAACTCACTACCGTTTTGAAGTAATGAATGACTATATCCTTATGAACCATAGGCTACTGTCTCCTTGCTATTACTCACTTCAATTCATCCCTGTTTTCTTACAGCACTGTGATTAGGAAAAGGCTCACTCTTTGGATATGTGTGGCCCAAACAGGAATTGTCACTCAGAAGAATCTAATTCTGTGCTCATTAGGTGCAAGTGCAACTGAAGGTGGACTTACAATTACTCAAAGACAAATGCCAGTTACCTCGGGGGCCTGAAAGATCAATAAAAAGAATATAAAGCAGGAAAAAATAGCTTCCAAATGTACATAAAGAGCATTACCTGGAGGACTCTACTCATCCACTGAAAACTGTCTTCCTCTGTGGAATCTGGCCTTTGCTCAGCAACAATAACTATCCTCTCATCATGCAGCACGCTCACTGAAAACACTGCTATTCTATAGAAGAGAAGGAGAGAAGAGTATTTGGTGTCAGAACAGGTGGAAAAGCCTGTCTTCTAAGTTAACCCTCCACAACTACGATTTTGTTACTTATTACTCAGACAACTGGTGTATCAATAGGATTTTATTTACGGGGAAAAAGCAACGAGAACAGTTGTGGGTAGCTTCTGGAGGAGAAATAGGTGGGTTTGTTTTAGAATCATGTAAATACAGGCATAATGTCACAGCAGGGTTGGAGAAGTGAACCTTCCTGGGATAAGAAAAGCACTACATCTGGGTCACAGTGAGGTTGTTAAACTGTTGTGTAACAGCCAGCCACGTCCTTTGGCCCCATCTTAGAAGAAAGTAACTGCAACTTCTTTTTGTGAGAGGTCTGCCATGTGATCATGTGTGAACGCATGTTACTGCATTAGGCTCTTCAGTTTAGATGAAGTTTTAGATGTCTCCTGCTCAGTTCCAACACCTTAGGAAGGTCACACAAGGCACCGCAGTGTGTTAGGCATGTCGGAAATGTTAAACTCAGAGAGCTACGATTCTGTTGAGTCAACATCTTCAGAATTAACCAACTGTTCAACAGGGAATTCTAATCATCACAATTTTGGACCTTGGTATCTGCCTCAACACTGTCTTAGGTTTCCCTCTGCTGTGTCCTGGTTCTATCATTGCCATTTTACTGATACCAGCAACTTTCAGACAGCCCAGTGCAAATTTGGCACTGCCTTCTGAAAGCATTTTGGGTCACTTACACCTGGTCTGAGCAAAATAAGGATTTCTACACAATATAAGAAAAGAAAGGATCAAACCTTCCCCTGTAGACAAATTTCATTGGTTCCACGGCCAGTGCTGTTGCCACAATGTCATCAGCATTATGTCGTCTTCCACTGACAACCATCAAACCATCCATTTTGCCAATAACAAAGACAAGTCCACCTGGTCCTATAAAGCCAAGTAGTCCGGTCCTTATAAAAGGATATTCAGTGATAGGGCCACCAGAACTGGTCATAGGAAACACCTGTAAGACAAAGAAACATAGGTCTTCACTGCTATACACAGAGATCATGCTGTGAAGTATTTCAGGCACGCTCTCTCAGACGGCTCTTCTGGAATGAAGTAAATAGGTTGCTGGTGATGCTTTTCACTCTTCACTGGCCATAAAGGCAGTGTCAGGAAACTCCTAGGCTAGTGTGTGTTATTTTCAATACCTGAGTTCCAGCAAGTTCAATCTCACTCTGTTTACCACATATTTTCCCTAACCATGGCTCTATAAATCATGTATGATCTTAAAAAACCACATAAATCAACATAAACAGTACTGAATAACAAAAAAAACCGGTCATGGAGAATGCAGCTAGCCTGAGGTGCTATGTATAGGTTACCTGAGAGATTAAACTGTAAACATTACAGCAGAGGCTTTTTTCAGTACCTCATGTTCACTGCCAGCACAGTATAGAGAAACAAGCAGGCTAGAAGTGAAGCTGTTTTCAAGTACTGTACATTAATGACTCTTGCAGCTGACCACATTTTTATCTAAGGTCAATTAAGTCCTCATAACACCAGTGACAATGCCTTCTGTAGCATGTCTAAGAGTGAAAATACAGCCCCATACAGAGCCTCTCTAGATGTTTGAACACCAGACGCAAACTTCACTTCCGCAGGACAGATTGCCACCACTTTTCCTATCCTCACTAGCTCAGCGTTATCCTTCTGGTACATGAGTTGCTTTGAGCTGCATTCTGAGCAACCACACTTCGCTACCATCACTTCTTTAAACTGAAATAGTCTAAAGGCAATCTATTTAATACAATGGCAAGTGGAAGACCATGGCTACATAGTGTCCTTCAAGGGTCATCTAAAAAAAAAGGTCAAATCCTGCTGCCAGATGCCCATGGATGACTCTTACTGAACAGATTTAATGCTTATACATCCTCAGGCATAATTCATTTCAGGAACACAAAACTCTTTTGACTCTCTAATACCTGCAGCATGAATTACACACGAAAACAAAAAAGAGGTCCACTTGTAGCAGGCTCCTAAGAACATGGTTAACATTAAAAATGAGTGGTCCTGCTCACTGTATATCAATTTACTTGCTTACCATTAGGAACAAGTCCAAATCATTCTAAACATGCTGCTAAACTGCAGACCCAGTTATGAATTATGAACGATTTAACAATTATATCAAGTACTACAAAACGAAAGTAAGTACCTTTCTCCCCTGAAATATGTTAAATCTGGGATTATCATTCACACTGGGTATTGTAAATTGTACTTGTAGCACAATAATCAGCTACCAACAAATTTCAGATCACAATAGCATAGTAGGATTCCTGTCTTCAACAGCAGGATGGAGAGTCGTATCCACTAGTCTCCATTAATTATTTAATGTATAGTGTTTACAACATTCAGATCTGCACTTTGCAGGAGATATTAGTCATGTTTGGTCTATTAAAAATGGTAATATCAGAGCATTTGTTAAAAGAAATGTAAATGTATTTTTCTTATTTTTTTCCTCAAATATTAAAAGAGAAAAAAATCAGAACTTAATAAAAATGTCAGCTCAAATTTTTTCAGTATTTCTCTGATTTGTTCAGCCTTTCATACTGGCTTCAGTGGAAGTTAATGATAACAAGTGAGCAGGTACAACAGAGCTATCAATGCAGCTGCCTGCACTGGAGCTGAAACCTACTGGAAAACAGATTCCGCAAAGCAAAAAAGGCTTTCACCTAAGGCAATTCAAACAAAAGCAGGTGTGGACTAATTAAGAAAAGGTATCTTTGCTATTCAGATACCTCTTGAAGACTACATCAGTCAGGATTCTGCATAAATGCAAGACTTTAATGCTGGCTGCGTTGCGGAAACTGCTTTTTAAAGATAACCAGCAGCCTTCCTACCCTTTGCAACAGTCAAATTCTGCACGTAGCTAGCTCATAGACTTGTACAGTATTACCTTTTGAACTTTGTTTTTCTTCCTGCTTTCCTTCTGATTGTTTCAGCCCCTGGTATCGTCTTTCAAAATTAAAGTAAAAGCTCTTCAGAGCCGAATCTAAACCCACATAAATATCTGCTATTGCACTTAATGAAATGGGCTTCAGTGCAGATTATCTGGCTAGAGTACTTAAGGCTCCAAGCCACAAGCATTGATTATTACTGCTATTCTGATATCATTAATATCAGTATTTTATGTGAAATATTATCCTGAAAAAGCTAAAAAGGAAGGATTTTATATAGTGTTTTCTGGACAACTTACCTCAAAAGTATTTTTGGTCATGCCCGAGAGTCCATAATATGATGTACCCGTTGCAATAGCACATACACAAAGTTCTCCTATTTCATCTGTTTTACAGAGCTGAGGAACTCCATCTGGCTTCACTGAACACATTATAGCTAGAGGGAGAGCAAAAACATTATAAAATTAACTACAGAATAATATAAATGCTATGAGGAAGACACTGTGGTGGAGATGACATAAACAAATAAATTATATGTAGGCTCTAATGTCTAACAGTCGGTTTCTCAAACATTAAGGTGTTCAACACTATCGAATGTTATTTGTATTATAAATAACACTTACAGAAAGAATGTAAAAACCTTTATGTAAACTCAGACTTCACACTCCTAACAAAACCTAATTTGCCTTGCTCTCTAAAATTTCAGTTGATCGGTAATGTTGCTGTGAAATGTGATTGTGTTCCCAGTTTTGCATACTGAAGACCAGATTTGCCACAGTCAGTGCAAAATGAAATAAATTAATGGGGTTCTTGATAATAATTACACTGCCAGGGAGGCAGGCAACCAGGAAATCTACCTCTCACAAAGTAGCAAGTAACACCATATGAAAGATCAAGATATTCTAGGAGACTAGTACAGTTGTTTCACTACGAATTTGTCAGAGCTCAGACTCCCTCTCACTGGTCTTACAGGACTGCAGAGACAGCAAGAGCTAAACAGGAGGGATTAGAAAGCACTGGTCTGAGGAAGAAGCACTGTTGTATGTGTGAGCCATGTGAATAAGAATCAAGTATGCTGCTTTGGCTACAGTCCCTGGAGTAGAAGTCCAGCATGTGTAGATTTTGCAGTTGGAAAGCGGATATGATGAACAAGGGAGGCCAGAAATGAATCAGTACATCCTTTAACTACAAGTGTCAAGAATCTTGAATGACCTTTACCTCACTCTGAGGACAAACAGGAGCATGTAGGAGAATGTAGTATGAAGTGCAAGGTGGCATATCTATAATAATACCTTATATGACAACTATTTGACAACAACCAATCTTATCTTCCTTTATTTTAAGTTATTCAACTGAAATATTCTAAGATGCATCATTATGATTTATTCCTTTGGTGCATAACAGACATTCTCTTATGAAAAACTACAGTATTATCCTTTCCTAGTCTCCATAACATCTCATTTAAAATCTAGCTCTCTTACGAAAACTCTTATCTGCATCTTTAGAAGCACTGGTTTCAGTTTGAATTTATCAACATGAACTGTTCAGTCACACCTCCTCTTTCTAATGACTGGGTAATAGCACAAGATCTTTGGAAAAACATTCTGCAAGCCTTCAGATGGCAATTTTGTTGATCCTTATCGCAGGTTATGAAAACTTTCACTGCCGAGTTTCATATGGGTCAACTTTAGGGATATTTATAGCCGCCATACATCAGAATCCAAATTCCTTATTTTCTGTACCAGTATCTCACAGTTAAGGAATGGATGTTCTGATGTGCTGACAGGTTGTTTAAAGCACACCACTAATACAAGTAAAGACAGCCATGGAGGCAAAAACAGACAAGAAATCTTGGGATTTCCAAACCATGACATTTTACAAGGTAATGATTTTGGACTAAAATGTTTTCAATTACACATGCTCTAATCCCAAAGCTTGCTGTCTAATAGCAAAGTATGCCCACCTATGACTTTCTACAGTTAATTACTTCAATTGATGAATCATAATAAGTTTCAAAGAAAGTTCCTTACCTCCTGGCATCACTAAGCCAACATCCTGGACAGTCAGAACAGAAAGTTTTTCTTCAGAGTCCACTCGAATCACTCCGTAAGTGAGACCATGCATGGACAGAACTCCTCTGCCGGGTGGCTGATTGCTGTCATCTGTTGGCCTGCAACCATGGGTTATAACATCAGTGCACCATCAGGCACATGTAAGCATTTACTTACTCTTAATGGACCACTCTTGCAAATACTCCCCTATTTGAGCAAAATTTCACCTTCTTTTTTCCCCTACTAGACCTGACAGAACCCTGGTTTTCAGTCATTTCTGAGTAATTATGTCTGTCAACACTCCCATTCAGCAGCCACCCACATATATGGGGCTGCAGAGATGAAAATAACACCTAACATTTACCCAAAACAGCTTATATTTAATTTTCAGATAGATTTACAGAGATTGCTTGATCATCCACGTAAAGGCCTTTTGCCTTGTTTTAAAAAAACCAAAAGGCAGTGCGGACAATGTGGAGGGAAACTGCACTCTAAGTATTTGGAACTGATCAGTAAATAACTTAATAAACTCTCTATATGTTATCTATTCTGAGCCAACCTAGAACTAGGAAGCCAAATTCACCTGCCAGACCAGAAGCCTAACTCTAGCACACTGATATCAAAGCTAAGATTACAATACAAGTATCCCATGTTTAAATCAGATATGGCTTCCCACTCCCATTACTTCAGCATTTAAAATCACTAAACAGAAGAAATCAGGTTGTAATAGATTCACTGCAAAGTATGTGTGGAAGCTGCCAGGACTTCACCTTCTTTAATTTAGTGCATATAATTGAATTCTTCCTACCCTAATTTACGTCATGAAAATTAAAACAAATTACACCTTCATCAGTCATGGTCAAAATGCTGTGGATGCAGCCTCTTCGGAATGCCTCAGTTTGCTCAGATTCACTGCCGACACACTGTGCAATTCCACAGCATCAGCACAAGCTGTCTGTCAACTTGTTTCAGCATAAAACCGCCCGCTGTATCAGTGGATACAATTCTACCTATGTAGAGTGTGCCTTGACAAGCGAATGTTGATGTGTGCAAGTTATTAAGTTATTAAGTCAAGGGAATACATCAGGGCTCTTCACGTCTGGACAGATTCTTACACTGTCCTGCATTTTAAAATGCAACACCAGAAGCTAATGTGATGCTGATTTGAGTTTGGATAATGCATCCATGTAGAGCAGCCAGACTCCAGCTGATGGAGATGGATAAAACAGCCAATATTTAGTTCAGGATTCTGCACTTTTCCTAAATACTCCACCATAAAACAACGATTTTTTAACAGCTAATGTCCTTTTATACGACATTTCTCCTCTACTGTGCTTGAAATACTAGATGGACCTTAGCCAATCACGCTCACGTAAACCTTGCAGTGATCGGCACTATAAATTTCAATTAATAGGTTTTATGAAGCATATTTCTCAAGTGACATCGTCAACAAAGAAGGATGTGGGCACGCCTGAAAACGCATTAGAGCATAACAAATGGTGCTAGTAAACAAGCAGCTGTGACAAATAGCATTCCCATCATGTAAAAGGAACTTTCAGCGACGTTATTGATCAGGCTCCTCTCACCCTTGCTCCCCACAACACACATTTTACTGCTCATGAGAAGAAAGGTCTCCCGCAGACACACGCAGCTTCTCACAGCCTTCTAGGAGTAGAGGCCATCTAGACTTTCACCACATACATTTTCTTGCATTGTTTATCACATCCAAAGACTGCTGAAAAGAAGAGCGGGTGCAGCTCTGGAAGACACTGGCTGTGCTCAGGCTGAGGGTGCCAGGGTGGGAAGCTGGAGGCCCAAGGTCTGCTAGGATCGGGCTGGGGGCCATGTCAATACAGCCACGCGTGATGTGGCCTGGGTTGAGGAAACAGCTTTGCCTGGGCTAATAAATGGAACGTGCAATGGAAGCAGGTGTGCAGAAGGCAAGAGTCAGCGCTGAGGACCTGGGGTCCACAGGACAGGCCTTTCAGAGCTGCTGTTTCAGAGCACTTCTGTACCCTGGTAGTCTGAGGTGGATCCTTGAATGAGACGCCAGTTAACTGTGCTTGAGTCGCCTCTTGCAGGTAACCAGCTGCCTGACACCAAAAGGGAATACAGTCAGAAGACCAGGACAGAGGAGTGGGGTGGGGAGCCAAGCACCTGACAGCACCTGTACATAATCTTATAATGTCTTTTGTCAGCAACAATCCTGCAATATATGGTATCTTATTTTGTCCTGTCCGTGATATCCACATGGGAACATCCCCAAAACAAGTATCTCTGCCAAGCAGAAAGAGAAAAATCATTTGGAAAGAAGATGAGAGATAAATTCTAGAATCATAGACCAGTTGAGGTTGGAAGGGACCTTTAAAGGTCATCTAGTCCCATCTCCCCTTGCAGTGAGCAGGGATATCTTCAGCCAGACCAGGCTGCACAGAGCCCTGTCCAACCTGGCCTTGAATGTTTCCAGGGACGAGGCATCTACCACCTCTCTGGGCAACCTGTGCCAGTGGTTCACCACCCTCACTGTAAAAAATTTCTTCTTCATATCCAGTCTAAATCTACCCTCTTTTAGTTTAAAACCATTACCCCTTGTCCTATCACAACAGTAAGGTGTCCCTGCAGCCTTCTCTTCTCCAGGCTGAACAGCCCCAACTCTCTCAGCCTTTCCTCACAGCAGAGGTGCTCCAGCCCTCTGATCATCTTTGTGGCCTCCTCTGGCCCTGTTCCAACAGCTCCACGTCCTCCTTGCCCCCAAGTCCTCCCCGGCAGGGCGGCTCTCAGTCCCTTCACCCCCCAGCCTGTATTGATAGCGGGGGCTGCCCCGACTCAGATGTAGGACCTTGCACTTGGCCTTGCTTAACTTCATGCGCTTCACACAGGTCCACTTCTCAAGCTTGTCCAGGTCCCTCTGGATGGCATCCCATCTTTCTGGTGTGTCAACTGCACCGCTCAGCTTGGTGTCGTCTGCAAACTTGCTGAGGGTGCACTCGATCCTGCTGTCCATGTCATTGATGAAGATATTAAGTAGTACCGGTCCCAGTACAGACCCCCAAGGGACACCACTTGTCAGCAGCATCCATTTGGACATCGAGCCGCTGACCACTACCTCTAGATGCAACCATCCAACCAATTCCTCATTCATCAAACACTCCACCCATCAAATCCATATTTCTCCAATTTAGACAGAAGGATATTTTGGGGGACCATGTCAAAGGCCTGACAGCAGCCCAGACAGATGACATCGATAGCTCTTTCCTTGCCCACTGATGCAGTCACTCCATTATAGAGGGCCACTGGGTTGGTCAGGCAGGACTTGCCCTTGGTGAAGCCATGCTGGCTGTCTCAAATAAATAACCCCATTCCAATGTATTTATTTTTAAAGTTAACATTTTAAATTTTTTTACACATTCAGTATTTCTAATACTGGATTTGGAACTCTGTAAGACTGCTTGCTAGACAAAGATAAATCCTTTGATTAAATTAGGAGCAACTAAACAAAAGATATAATTCTACCTACTTCATATACTAAGTAAATTTAGCTTACATCACCAGACAAACCTACCCCTTTAGCTTTCTTAACCATGAAAGAGGGACAATGTGCATCTACTTCAAAGTTGATTTGTTCATACCAAGTAGCTGTAGAGCATTTTAAGAACAGTTACCACTACGATTTACAGACATGATCTACTTTACCACTATGTTTTTGCCAGTCGTTTAAACGGGAACAGACCTGTACTTAAACTTTTGCACTCCCTTAAGCAAGTGGGTTCAGACTAATAGTAATAAACCAAAGGGGAATACAATAAAGAATTATTTGCATGATACATTCCCATCAATATTAGGCTTCATGATTCAGCTCTAAGACTAAAGTACCTATTAGTGTATTACTGACTGTCTTTTTCTAAACTAGAAGAGTATTTCAACTGAGAACTGGTTTTGTTACTCTGCCTTGCAGGAGGATCAGTTAAAATACACGACAGATTTTGAAAGAGTCGGAGCATTAACAGGGAGCTCGCTGGATCTGTGCTCTGCAGGGAGTAATTTTAATGCATACTTCAGCTGTAACTCTTTGGAACTTGCATGATAACGACTTTACTGTCAGTGGAGATGGCTTGAATAAAATGAAAAATACTAAAGCTCCCAAGTTCAGCTGGTATTATCCTACCATTAAACAGACTTCAAAAAAAGGAGGTATGTGCTCAGTAACATCCACTGTAGTAAGAACTGCTCTGCAATTACACAGCGAGGCACTGAAGATAAAAATGCCCTTTTTTTTTTAATTATCCACTATTTTATGTGCTAATAAATTTTTTTATGTAAGCTCTCAATGCCAGTTAATTTGAAAATGAATCTGCAGTGCTTCAGGTGACTCTAAGGATAGAGTTTGAGTCTAGAAAGGGCATGCCAGCCATCGTACGTTGAGATGCAGTGAGTTCTCCCACTTCATAATCTGTGATCTGGGGCAGATTTCCCAGGGCTGGCCCAGGAAATGAAAACCCTCTCCCATTAATCAGCGCTCAGCACAGGCGATATGCGCTGCCCTTCCACCTCCTCTCTGCACTCACAAGCAAGAGCTCATTCCAAAGCAGTGAAGGTCTGCACAGCCTATGGCAGGGAAACCCAACACAAGGGAAAAACAATGTACTCCTTGATATAAAGCTGAGAACAGGCTGGTGGAGCTGAATGAAGGGCTCTCTGAGATCCTGTAGTTCACAGAAAGACAACTAACTTGGACAGGGTGAGTAGTGATGGATGCTTTCAGATGTTTTAAGCTAATAATCATAGAATCATAGAATGGTGGGTTGGAAGGGACCTTAAAGATCATCTAGTTCAAACCCCCCTGCCATGAGCAGGGACATCTTCCACTGGACCAGGTTGCTCAGAGCTCCATCCAATGAAGTGGCTGAAAGTCAACCATGGTCTTGGCCTCATGTGTTAGAAAGCTAATTAAAATCTAGTTAAATTTCACTTGGACAGTGTTTTTTAAACTTTGTGGCAGGAAGTATTTTACTTAATGCTGTTACAGAGCTTTAGTTTTACACTGCATGTTTTAACATGTGAAATAATTATAAATGGCTGCAGAAATCTGAACTTAAAACCAAAGCGCCTACCGTTCAAGGTATAACTCTTAGAAAACTCTGCCAAATCAGACAACAATTATGCCATTTACTGTGTGCTACAGCACTCACGAGAGGTGACTGCTGCATACTGACATTCATGTACATAAGGCTTAATAGTTTTATTGGAATTTATCCATTTTATTTCTAGGCACAAATCCCCCAGACTCAAAGGGCATTTCCAGATGATTACTGAAAGTCTATGAATGGTTAAAAAGAGCCAGTCAGCCAAAAAAACCCTGCAGAATGGAATGTCACAATTCTCTTTACGCAGACTATTTCAAAGCATGATTTTCCTCGATAGAAATTCCACTTAAACTCCTATATTTTAATTAATTTTCTGGTTATGGTGGCATTTTTTCACTTCTTTTTACAGAATTAGCTTTTGCATTTTAGTCTATTCCATTCAAAATCGTATAAAATCACAGAAATAAAATCTATATTATAAAGCACTCTGAAATTAAATTATTAGTCCACAAATTCTTCTTGTATGCCTTCTTTGGACATAAACAAAATGAAAATTCAAAATGTCATTCAGAAGTTAAGTATGCAGATTCATACTTGAATATTTTTTTCATTTCTTTTCAAACAACCACTTATATTCTACAGTCGGTCTATTTCTATTGGTGTAACACAGTACCTTCGAATAGCCACAGTGAGAGCTTCTGGTGAACTAGCGCAGGGACAAATGACCTCCTGTCTTAGACCTTTACTTTGGAAGACATTGAGAAATGCATCACAGGAAGAAATAGACCCTGGGGTAAAAAAAAAAAATCAGAAGAGAAAAATAATCTGATTTCTGAAGTGATGCTATTCAAACTGTAAACTTACTATTGAATATACAGGCTGTTCAGGAGAAAAAAATGAAAATGGACCTATGTCCACTGGGAAAGAAGTCATAGCTGCTACAACTACATATATGTAGTTGTGTATGCATACAGAGAATAAAGACTAATTTGTGAGCATAAAGTGCTTTCACTACGCTTACGTAGAAAAGCCATTATTGCTAGGTGATTTACAATATGAATTTCATTACAGTTTTCTTTTTTAAGATGAGATAAATTAAAGATTTAATTCAGAAACTTGAAGTAAACTACCACAAACAAGCAGAACATCTATATGTTTGTATCTTTAATATAAACAGTTCACAATATTAATTGTCATGAAGTGATCCAGCTGTGGTTCTCTAGAGTAGTATAAGTATTCTCCTAAAATTTTCAGTTACATCTGAGTGCCATCATTTGGAAGAAATGTTCTGACCCTTTCCATAGCTTAAGGTTATTTACTTCGCTCGTTATGCATGACTGTCATGTTAAACAAAACTGAATTTACTGCAACTCACGTTATGTGGAATATCAAGTTTGCTTCAGAGTTTGCTAAAGAAAAATATTTAAAAAAAAAACCCCAAAATTAATTACTGTTTCCATCAATATCATATAGTTTGCAGCAGACAAACCCTATGCTCTGTAAGTATTTTAGATAAGATGACTGAAGACTGAAACATTAAATACAAGACAGAGAACACTTCTGTTCTCTGTTGGACCACAGAAGCACCACTTACATGGGTTTGCACCATCAGCCACTATTAGCATACGCAGTGAGGAAAGGTTGATGTCTCTCTGATCTCGATGTGCCACCAATGCCCAGTGCATGTCTCTGGATTTTACACAGGCAACTTTTGCTGCAATAAGGATGGGAAGATTACTAATACACCACACCAAAGCTACACAGCTGTATTATCAATTTGTGCTTTTGATTTTGACTATCAAGCACACTTTTGTATATTCTTGTTCCTTACCTTTGTATTGACAGACTTTTTGTATCCATGACAGTGGATTCACTTTCATTAAAGAGTATGGAATACTTATAACATGCATCATGTTCATGACACTCTGAAATCAAACAAGATAAATGGGTTTTATACAACAATTGTGGCAATTATTTATATTGTGTTACGGGCAGGGACATCAGAGTATGTAGGGCCTGTACATCCTGGGACCCCCAAAGAGTGACCCTTCAAAACTTGGTATCTGTTCTTTAAATGATCAGTGAGCACTAAGTATTCTGTCAGTCACTGACTGCAGCAGCACCTTTAGAAGCAACCCTTAAAAATATTTCAGTTGCCTCTCCTGTCAATCCAAGCAGACATTCAAACAGAAGGTAGACAATTTCTGCAATTTAAAGTATCAGAAATGCTTTAATATTAGAAAACCACCCATTGGTGGGAGTTTTGATAGACAAGCTAGTCAGTGGCGATATAGCTATGCCATTGGATCATATCCTTACAGAGGCAAGTACAAATTTAATTTGTTTCTGCTAGTACAAATTTAATTTGTTTCTGCTATGAAGCCTGATCTCAAAATCACACATCAGTAAGATCAGAATAAGATGGTAAGAATGGGGCCAGAATACTCGACATGATGCATAAAAATATATTGGCATCTTTACCATGCTCATTATGGGTAAGTGTACTAGCAGAAGATCATGGGTTTAAGTCACACATTTTGTGCTTTCAAAGCAGAAAAATCTGTATTAGAAGAAACTGTACAACATCCCAGTTTGTGACAGTAATAAGCATATTAGGTTAGTTTATTTTCTCACATAAAATAAAAAAACATACTTACTGTAAGAATCCCATGCCATAAACCAACATCCTTCTTGAAATCTAATACATTCACAATTGTTTCAGCTGTCCAACAAAAACAAAACAGAGTTCATTTTTTAGAACATGGCATCAACCCAAGGCAAACCCACTCAAAAGATGGAAGTTTCAGTATAAGATGACTGATGACCTCAAAGCTTAACTTTCACAGTAAGTCTCCAGCGCAGGATGTGTATTGGCTAGGACATTATTTGTACCTCTCACAAAGATATTTTCAACATGCCTGTTTTGTAAAACTAGTGAAAAAAAAATCAGGTTTTAAAATCTAGAAGTCTTTGACACAGTTCTATGTAAAACTTAAGAGAAGAGCCTGGTGAGAACCAGATTATAATTGACATTTGATTTTAAGGATGAGGCAAGGGAATTGTACTCCATACCTTCTGTGTATCCACATGCCTGGGTCAGAGCTTGGCAGTGCGTCAGCAGTGCAATCCTTGTCACAGTCACCCCAAGCACGCTTCCATCTTTACATGTTTTGTACTACAAAGAAATAAGCAGGGAAAGTCAATGTGCACTAGTTGCCCTACTTCCATTATTTAGGGGTTATGTTTAAAGTGTTTCCTATGTAGGTGAATGACGGACACATCTAATGACTCAATTTTAAGGCTGCAGCATTACTGAGGAATTTGGGAGACTTTTTTTGTTAAAGACACTTTTTTTCAGATAGGCTTTCTCTTTTGGACTGAAGCTTCCCAGGTTTGATATCAGAAATCCATTTGCTGTTTGAATACAGGCATTATGGAAAAATAATTCTAACAATTCTGATCATGTTAATGACCAAAGGACTGGCTAGATTTAGCACAGAATAACCTTGTTCAGTCTGCTCAAGTGTTCACATGTGAGATTTTATAGGCCAGCCAATAAACCTGAGCTTCTCTCTTCTGTGTCTTGTAAGGCATAGGATAAGAGCCAACTGCAAAGTCCTTGCTGGGTGCTGTTACAATAATCTATACATATACAGTCCGAAAGACATGAGCTCTTTGATCAGAAGAATACGAAAGAGCAGCATAAAAAAGAGGTGGGAGATCATTGCTGATGACTGCAAAAATTTTTGCAACTTTATGCAAGAGTCTGAAGACTATCAGTGGCAATTAAAGTAAGTTAAACTTTTATCTTTCTCCATGATGAAGATAATCAGCAAGATTGAAAATGGAGGCATCTCTGCTTCTCTAGCCCAGTGTTCTGACTGAGTGAAGACAGGAAATGCCTTTGCTCCATTCACTTGAACCTATTCTCTTTGCATAATCATTTAAATTTAATACTAACGTCACTGAATTCAAGGCATTTGAGTCTATGCAGATGTGGGGAAAAAAGAATGGGAAAAAAGTAAACGAGAAAAATTAAACTTAACAGCATCGCTAAATTTCCATTCCTGATGCTGATCTTCAGGGGGGAGTGTGACTCACAAAGCAGTGAGTGACAGGCAAGCATCTGAACAAGCTCTTTCTCTTAAAAGGATCTGAAGGTTGCAATATGAGAGCTGAAGCTGCACTGTGAAACTTGCTGCCTATCCATCTCAAGGCCAGTGGGCAAGCCCAGCTGTGAATGAGACCAAGACTGGTCAAGGCAAGTTTAACATAATACTGCGGCAGCCACATAGATGACGTAAAAACATGGATGTTGGAAACCCCCAAAATGCAATTTAACATTTCATTAACTTCTCTGAAATCAATATCCAGTATAATTTATTAGAAAATATTACTTATTAACAGGCTAAAACAGGACGTTCTTTGCTTCTGTGACTAGCAAATGAATAATGATGTTTACCTAATCCAGAAGCGCCACATGCAATGATGCGAGGAGCAGATGCATCTTCATTAACTCACCTCAATGTAAGCTGTGTCATTGTTTGCATCCTTGATGTGTGGGAACCAGTCACGAGGCGGCTTGGAGAGGTGTTTAGACTCTGTGACAAACCACAGCAGCTTCGGCCAGCCTGAGGTACAAAGAAAAGTCAGCTTTTGTCGAGCTTCTGCTGATTAAGAGAAGACAAAACTCTTCTCTGCCAGTGCCACCATTACCTAAACATTGCTTCTTTTAAACCTCAGGGTAGCACGGGAAAGATTTTCCAGAACTGCTTTCTTAACAGGTCTATTGTGGCCTTCTCAGACAATCCCTGAAGAAATGGCTGGGCCGTTTAAGCTGTTATCGACCCAAAGAGTTTATTACCTCTCTCCTGTCAGAGGTTACTGTCCCTACCATTTAGCCATACGACTGAATCATACGGCTCAGCAGCCATGAGGTGGGAGCAGCCATCGCTACCAGCCAGTGACGCGCAGCCGGGGCACCGCGAACCAGCAGCCACGGCTGCTCCCGGGGCACGCGTTGCATCACGGGCCTGATCCTCACCCACCACAACTAAACAAGTGCAATGACTGCTACGGTAGTAAATGACCTATGATACCCATGATAAGCAAGGGTTATCTCACCTTTAAACTGTGGTATCTCCCCTGTGGGGCTTTTAGGCAGTCCTTTATGGCACGCGTCGCTAGTCAAGGCCACAGTAACTCCACAGCTTCCAAGCAAAAAGCCTATTTGTTGGCTTCCTGCATCCTAATAGACGGCAAAATAAAAGCAATACACAGAATTGATTAGAAGTGACTATAGGCTGAAAATGCTCTTGTCCTTTGGCGCATTATCTTGAGAGGAAAGCAGTCTGCTGTGGAGTCTCCTTCTCTAGAGATATTCAAACCCCGCCTGGACGCGGTCCTGAGCAGCCTGCTCTAGGTGGCTCTGCCTGAGCAAGGGAGCTGGACCAGACGACCTTCAGCGGTCTCTGCCAACCTCAAGCATTCTGTGATTCTGCGACGATTCCAGGAAATAATACAGGTTATAGATGCTTCAACCTGGAGAAAGCTTTCAACCCTTCAGATGTTATGACAGGCATACAGTGGTGACAGTATCACTATTTATGCTGATCTAACCTGATTTGTCAATAATCATTTCATTGAGTAGTTGCAGACACATTTCAGGAGCACTACAGATAGTCAAGTGCCCATTAGAGAAAGCACATTACATTTTACTTTCATCAAGGGGATATAGGCAGTGAGGCTAAAATGTCATGTAATGATTTTCAAGTCCAGGCCATAGCTGTTCTTTAAGAGATGCTGTGCTTCTACAGCATTATGTCTGCTTTATGTATAGTGTCTTGTCATGATTCTTTTATGAACTTTACATCTATCCACTAGGCTCTTCAACAGAGCAAAGCCCTAGGTGTAAATGCACATAGAAGTATTAACCCTTTCTTCACAGAATCATTCTACAGAAAATAGCCTATGGAGTCTCAAAAGATCAAATCAAAATATCTTGCAAATCAACCATAAAGCACGCTTAACCATGGAAGCAACCAGAAACAGAACAGTTGCCTTATCTATTAATTTATTCAAAGCAAAACTGTATGATGGAAAGAAAGCCCCAAAGCCTATCTGACTAGTTTTTAATGCAATTTTTATGTGGTCTAATCAACTAAAATGGGGAAGCAATAAGATCAGAGGAAAAACAAAAGCTTACTTGTTTTCCATACCACCTCAAAATATGTATATGGCATCAACTATCAGAGCTTCAATAGCTGAGCAAACAATGTGGGACATTAAACTGATTTGTCATAATGATGCTATGTAACTCCTTCCATCTAGAATTACTGCATTTGCTTTTGCTTACTATGACCAGAATGCATATAAAACCAGGAAAAATTGACAAGGTACTTTTTCAGGCAGGCTTTTTAAAATTAAGCTTGTGCATCATCTTTTCCAATAAAAAGCAGACAAGGAGAGCACCCTTTGAACAACAGAGAGAATAACACTGGTGTATCCATGAACAACATTTTGGGGACCATATTGTCGACTCCAGTGTACCCGCACCAGTGGGGCTTCCAGGACAAAAAAGGGCTCAGCCAAGCATTACTGTCCTCACTGACTCTCATCTTAGGTGGTCCACATCTGTGTTGCCAAACCCCTAGGACAAGGGCTTAGCCAGATCAGACCCTGGTTCGACATTAGGATGAGATCTGGCGTCTCCACTCTTGGAGGCTGCTCAGCTGAAGCTCATGTGGGTGCCTGGACAGCGCAGGAGTGATGGCTCTCCTTCGAGGCCCCTCAGAAGGAATGGCAGGAAGATGAGGGCTGGGGTGCTCCATGAAGAAGATCACTCCGTGGGCAAGACACAGCCTCTGAGACCTGCTACTCTATCATGTACAAAGGGAGGTCACCAGTTTCTCAAAATATCACACCATACTACCATTACCCAAAACTTCCCACTAAATGTAATCTAAAAAATGGTTACCAATGTATGTATATGTCTGAATTTCTAACTATCAATTAAAAAAGTCTAGCATATAAATTTCGTAACTGAATGTAGCAACTGCATTACTCTCAATTTTAAAGTAAAAATAAAATGTTGTTGGAACTGTATGCCCTATAAAAGACTGCTGGCAAACAGTTTCACCATTGTACCAAGAAAATGCTGATCCTCAAGCGACCAAATCCCGTTTAATGTAGGACTTCACAACCAGAAACTGACTAATAAATTCCATTAAGAAAATTTAGCATACATAAACCAGTAGAAAGTCTGGACCTTAGACCATCAGTATATCACAGCCATGGGGGATGCATCAGTTAAGAAATGATCTGTCAAGTTCTTCTCATTGCAAAACAAAACAACAGAAAAAGGAAACTTGTATTAACAGTTTGAGTTTTTCAGATAACACATGAAAGAATGACTATGCTTCCACTTAGAGTCATCTCAACTGGTTTAGAGCATGTCCACGTAGATATTACTCATTCATTTGTAATAATTCACACAGAACCAGAGAGAATCACATACAGATTACTTAATATAATTTATTCATACATCACAGATTCTAATAACAGACTGTTTTACATCAGGACAACCCCATCTCAGAAAGCATCAGAATCTTCACCCCATTCTTTTCTGTACAGTTAAGTTGTTCATCTGAAAGGACAACATGGCTAAGCAGTTCTGTGATGAAGCACTACCGCAGGAGACTGGAAGAACTTCACCACGCGTGGACAGCACCCAGTGTGTTTTACAGACTTTCACATCCTATGCCATGCCCTTGGTGTCCACACTATAGCCTGCCTTGCAAGAAAAAAGCAAATCAAGACACTCAAGTAAAGGTACTGTGCTAGACACTGTTCTCAACAGCCAGAGGAGCTCCACTTGAGGATCTTACAGCATAAACACAATGAAGCTTTCTGGCAGCTTGCCAGCCTGTGTCCTTCATTCCCACTTTGAGCCTCAGTCTTCTATCTCCTAACTAGTCATCATCACCTTCTGCCTACTTCTGGTGGCTTCACCCTGACTTAGAAGCAAAAAGTACTGCAAAGAACAGAGACACGAAGACGAGGTGGACACCCCCTGCCCCATGCCGGTGCCCCTGCGATACCTGCTGCCCCACAGAAGCCACTGTTTCTACCTGCTCAAGTGGTGTTGAGCTACTGGACTGACAGCCCCGAGGCGCAAGATCTGAAACCATCTCAAGCTGAGAGCCTCCTACATCCCACAGACACACTGCAACCTTACCTACACTCTCCAGCATGTGAACACCATAGTCTCTGCTGTTCACCACACCTTAGCATGACAGGCTCAGAGCAGTGAGGCCCTCGGGTAAAACTTGTACATTTGAAAAATGAAGTTTGAGTTGAAAATGCAATTCTTTGCAAGAAGCAGTCAAAGATTCCACGTGGGCCAGGAAAAAGACTACTGACTTTAAAAGCATTGATCATTTCAGATTTCAGAAAAAAGCTATCGGCATCCCTTTTGAGTAATGTAAAATGAATGTCTGCAATGCTGAGCACTGCTCTGTAAGTAGAAAAAAAAAGAAACCAAATTATCTGCTGGCAAAAAAGAAGAAAAATTCTCCTCCCCCCTCAAATAAAATCACTCTCCTGCTCATAAAGGGAATAGATTTGCAGGACACACTGTTTCGTCAGCAGAGTTATTTGCTATTTTGGTAATTTATGTTAATTTGCTACTTTAGTAACCCCCTGCTTGCCTCAAACACTTTATTTTGCTGAATTTTGTGGGGGCAGAAAAAACCTCAGGGAGCCCGTAGAGACCAGGTGAAACAACTCAGCCGACGCAGTCCCAACCGCAGACAGGGAAAGACGTGCCAGCGATGCTCATTGTCAGATCCTCCACAATTCAGAGTTTGAAATGACACGTAACGCAGGTGGAAGGCAAAAGACAGAGCTGGGGTACCGTAGCATGAGGTTTGAGACCAATTGCTGACTTTGGAACTATCATTTTACATTTCTTGAAGTACAGCACTTGCTGAGGTACGAAAAATGAGGTCTGCATAGCTTTAGACTATGTCTGCACACACCTAGAGAGATCAATCTTTCAGATGAAGAGAGCCGGAAAGCCTCTCTGCTGTAGGTAGCCATTCAAGGTTCTCTAAAGACTTTTATTAAAGGCTCCCTAAAGGTTTTCACCAGTATCTGGAGGCAAATTGTCTTCTTCCTGCTGCAGAGAGTGGTAATTCATTGTCAGGAGAAAAAAATCCCACATGTGGCTGCATTTTAGCATGCTGGTAACGTCATTTCTACAATGCTTTGTGAGGGCATTCGTGTGAAGGAAAACAATTATGGTCCTTTCTCCACGACAGAGAGTGCATGTCCTTATCTAATCAGGAAGGAAGGAAGAGATGGCCTGTGCAAAAGCTGGCCTGATAAAGGTTACTCCTGCCCACTTGCAAATCCCAGACTGCTTTCAAAATGAGAATTATGTGGCAAAGCATCAGAGACTGAACTAATCTCGTTATCTGTCATGATGGTTATTTGAGCTCCATTTGCCCTTACCCTAACAAAAATCTGTTGGTAAAGAACAAATTGGGCAACCATTAGATGTAAAGGCCAAGCATCACCACTTCTGAACCAAAAGTGAAAGGGAACCAAGGAAAGCCTCAATTTTTAAAACACAAATATCCTAGACTTTAATAAAAATGAAACACAAAGCAGATGCGACTTTCATAATCAGCTTTAAGATGAAGAAATCAGCTGTCTTATCAGACAGAGCTTTGGTACGTAGTATAATTTGCACGTGAAATCTGCAACTATGAGCAGTCTCAACGTCGAAAAGTCTTAATGAAAGCAAGACAATGGTTAATTTTGGCAGGGGACATCGCATGAAATGAGATGTGCTCTCTAGGAAACTATCATCTCCTAAAGCTGAAAAAATAGAAAGAAAAAGTAGGCTTTGAAGGATCTGAGATTCACTGTGGCCAGCTGAGCAAAGACCTCTGCTCAGGGCCCATCTGCTGAAGCGGATGAAGAGGAAAGGACGGGCACGGGGCTTACAGGGGTCCAGCGGTGTGTCCCAGGGGCTCATGTGGGGCTGAGGGCACTTGCGTTCTTTGGAGGGATGGGAAGACTATGTTACTGAAAAGAAAATATGTAACGTTTTATGTGTATTTTAAATCCAGTGAAGAAAGAGCTGCATTGTCAAAAGTATGTACAACTCCAGTGTTTCTGGCACTCTACAGCCCAATGATGACTAAAGCTGAGAGGAACAAAGTTCATTTATCTCAGGCCCTGAAACACTAGGAAAGGCATCAAGGTGAATCTCCTTTGGAATACAATTCTGCCTTCAAATGGAAGGTAAGACTGGGACAATTTCACTATCTTTAAAGAGGTATATCTCACTGGGTACTGTTAAAGCTTCAGTAACCTAACTTCTCAGGATTTAATAAAAAGAGCTCCTGAAAAACAGTTTTTACCCTATATGAAGCATCCTTTAAAAAACCCAAGCGTCATGGAGTGGTTATCTCCAGATTTCCACAGGCACATTCTTCCCATCACACTGTCAGAACAAGAGTCTGGAAGGGCACACAGCATTAAATCTTGCAGGCTAGAAAATAGTGTGCTGACTGAGAAACAGATTTTTACATGCTTCCATGTCATTCCTTGCTACAAATACTCACCGTCTATGACAAAGAGGCCATAAAGATCTACGTGGGATCGCTTTGTTCCTACATTCACAGCGTGTGATTGAGCATAAATATGAATGCGCTTGCAGGACAAAAACGCTATTTTAAGATTAAAACTGATAAGCTCCCCTGACTGTATCACAGCAGAACAACAATAATTTCCATGATGCCCATGAAATGGAAAAAAAACATTAACCTAAAAAAACCTAAAGAAAACGAAATCAAAAACATATTTTTAAAATCTTTTCATAAGGGAAATAATAAATCGCTATTTGAACTAGAACTTGACACGTCGAAAATCCCATACCATCTACTTTGATGGCACATTCTGTGATGCATAGTTTGCAATTCACATCATATCACACATACAATGAAACAACTTCTAATACTCCATCTTCAGACAAGATTAATGGAAGTGGCAGCTCTGAAGCAAGAGATGTTGTATAGAACATACTACCTTCTAATGTTTGGGAGACTTAAAGATATTTGGAGATAGGAATATTATTCTCAAGGAACATAGCTGATAGTCCTAGAGATGAGGATTAGTTATAAAAAAAATTTGGGAGCGTTCATGATATAGCCATTTCAGTGGTACTAACAAAGGGAAAGAAGAAATAAAATCTGCTGTTTGTTCTGTTGCTACAATGACCATGGAACACCTGTCTACTGCTTCTAGAAGGAAGAGTTAGTTTTGATGTCATTAAAAATGCCTGGGATTTCAGGTTTTAATTTTAGATCTGATTTCCCAAGTCTAAAGAGCCAGAATTATGCTGACATGAATGTCAATTCCGAGGTCTTTGCTAAACACCAGGAAGCATTCTGGGAATAAACCTAAACAAGAGAACTCTGTGTGGCTGCTTGGAATTCAGTCAATCCATTCCAGGTGCCCCGACAGACAGGTCTCCTGAAGTCCTTGGGGGAAGTCCAACTAATTCTAGGTATTCTGTCAACACAAAAGTGGGATACAGAACAAAACAGCGAGCAGAGATGGACCCTCAACTAATAATGAACCAGGAAAGAACCTGCCAAAATCTGAAAAAAACCAGTCATGATACAAAGGAAAGGGAATGCACACGAAGTCTACAGGCTGGTAAAACAAAGGCAGGAAAAACAAAAGCCTTTAATTTCGTATGTGTACAGATGTCTGCAGAGCAATATGTAAGCCAAAAGTCTATCTGGCTGCAAACATTATTGCTCAATTTATAACTGCCAGGCACAAACAATTTGCACAGAGCTGTGAAAAACTCTTCTTTAGGAAAATGCAGAACAGTATTAAAGCTGCTAATGCAAATTTTTAATATTAAAAATGTGCTCATTATAAAAGTCCCTGAAATAGCTCATTCTGTATCAACTTGTTATTCTGTAATTCTGTATTAGCCTATAATAACAGTCAGCCTATGTGTTAGTTCACATCTCTGTCTTCCAAACAGTAAACCAAAAAATCTCCACTGCCAGAATGTACTAAAGCATGTAGAAAAGAGAGTAATAGGACAGCATAAAAGAACAGCCTAGGCCATTGTGTGATGACATGAACGACATCTTCCCACGGATGCCAGAAGCAATCCGCTGCCATTTGACCAAGCAGAGGTATTCCTTCTGGGACTACTCAGAACATGATTTTCATCTCATTGTTTCCACTCCAGCTCCCATTCCATATAAACAGATGCAAAAATATTTGCAACAGTAGATGCTGTGAGATTGCATAGTTTTATTTCTAGATCATAGATCATGTCGCTTTTTTAATTGTACCACTGATAATCTCAGTCATTGTTTAATACTTTGATATTTAACACTATGGGATGATCTTGGCAATAGTTAAACAGTCTCAGTCTGTAGATACTCTTTACATAAATATTTATATGGATGTGTAAGTGTATATTTATATATCCATATATACACACATGTTCTTAAAAAAAAATCTACCAAAGACATTCAGCCAAATTAGGGTAAGTTATTAATTTAGCATAGAGCATTTACTTGGACAGCTGAATTTTATAGTTTACTGGATGGATGTGGCATCAGATGGTCCAAAATAAATCCAATTTACACCTATCAAATGTACTTCAAAATGTCATTACACTTCAGAAAATAAGTAACAGGGAAAGACATACTAGATTTTTTAACCCTCAGCACCATGTTGCCTCTTTTTTAGGTAGAATGAAAGCAGACTTACCCATGTGAGCACTCTGTATGATCTTAAAATGTACATAGTTTGCTCACCTTTTTTTGTTGATGCATTTAAAATGTCTGCTTTATATTGAAGTAATGCACCATGTTATGCAACTGCCTCAAATTGTCTTAAAGTACTGCACTCACATGTGCAAGCATGGTGAGAGCCTGATGCATATGCACTGTATTTCTACTGAAATTACTTTTTTATAGTCATGTCCACCTCTCAGTGCTCTCAAATACACCATTTTACAAACAAAATAGCATAAACCTATTCCCCAAAGCAAGCAGACTAGTTGAGGTCCCATCCTCTCTCCTTGCATGCCCTTTCTAGCCCACGTGCACCTCTCCTCCAGTCTCAGCCAGCTATGCTGACACTTCCTGCCTCCTCTTCCCCTTGGTTCCTGCTGTCCTGCCCTCTGCCCAGCTCCTCTCACGTCTGCTCAGCTGGATCATGGCCTCTTGTTGGCTGATCCACTTGCTTTCCCCCACCTCTCCCTACTCCTTCCCCAGTTCAGCAAACCGTCCCTTCCTCCAGCACCACCCCTCCTCTTCCTGCCTGCTTCTGGTGTCACCATGGCAAGGGCTCACCACAGATGTTGGCATGCGTGAACATAATGGAGAAATTATGAGATCAACCCAGCTTCTCAGACACGAGGATGGTTCAAACACGTTCAGTTAGAAAGGAAACTCCAGATATTTTTAGCTGTTAAATTGCTGTGTGAGATGTGCAAACTGCAAAGCCTTTATGAGGGCTTAGAAACTTGTTTTCATGGTTTTTCGTTTGAAAGGCAGGGTACCTGTCCATGAAACAAAGATTTGAGCTTCTGCTGCAGGGTGCTGTGACACCACAGCATTTCAAAGAACAGCCCTTGGCAATCGAAAAATTGAACATGTGAGCAAAGCAATGCATTTCCCCAGCCCTTTCCTTGGAAACACCTCATGGCTTCAGTCAACGTTTTCCAAAAGAAATTAGTTTAAAAAAGAAAGCTTGTAAGGATTAAAGAACACACTTTGTGTGGACAATAGCAGATCAAATAGTTAAAGTAAGGCATTATTAGTGCTAGCTAATAAAAAAGGGATTACATAAGGAGATATTTGGGAGAATCTTACAACAGGCATTGCAGTCAGCCATTGTAAAATTAAGGGGATATGACAAAAATAACTTATAACAAATAAATACATTTTGCTGTATTTACAGCCTTCAAGACATACAACCTCAGAAAAAAATGCAAGTTCAACAGCATCAGGCATTCCTTCTGGCTGGAACTGCTGTATCTGTCTACTAACACTTCCCTAGGAGAAGAGAATGAATCTCTGAACACTGGACACAAAAGGCTTTTGATTAGCAATGGTCAGTCTTCTCTGTGAATGTATGTTCTGCAGCAAGAATTCCCAGACTACTTCTGCGCACGTGCCACCCTTGGCAGAGATGACTGTGGCGACACAAGCTTCGGGATACACATGCACACACAGACACAGGAGAAGGTATTTCCATAACTGCTCCAAAGTAGCATACACAGCACTAGCAGCATCATAACATAGCTTGGGTTGCAGAGACAGGTGGAAAATCAGCAGTTGTTGCCAATGATTCTTTGTCAGGGGCCAACACCAGAATGCTTTGAGAGGCTACAAAGATAATCCAGCTAGGACTGGCAGAGCTGTTCTCTTGGAAAATTTTCCTCTCCTTTTCCAGACGGGCCTGCATTTGCTGAAATTTCAAGCACGTCTTCAGATTTTCCATCACAGAAAAGAAGGAACTATATATAACTCACCACACAGCACTATCTTTGTATCCGCAGATTCAGAGCTAGTTCACTACAAAAATGTACTCAAAAGCTACATTCACTTGTGATTTGTTCTGACATAAGCTTTAAAATGCAGTATAGACAAGAAATTCAGTTCCCTACCTTTCTTGTAAGTGGCACTTCAATAGGGACGGGGACAACTTCCGCAAGCAGGCAGCCATAAAAGGCTACCATGAAAGCAGCAGGATCATTGTTAGGAAATACGAGTGTTACCTGAAACAAAGAGACGTATGTTAAAAATGTTTTATCCCAGGTTTCAGATAACAATAATTGAAGTTTCCATGCTTCCTTTTGGACAGAGATGATTACAGAAACACTTCTATGAGAACTATTCAAATATCTAATACAAGATGAATGAAAAATCAGAAGGAATTTATTCTGATAGCTATTTCTTTTGTGAAGGCTTCCACTTACAATGGAGTTAAATATTTCCATGTTGCATTGTTTCCTACATTGACAATACCTTCCATCTGCTTCTCAATGTACTGATTGCTTTGTAGAAGTTAAATAACCACGTAAATGGCATTAATAGAATTTTACATTCTAATCTAATAATTTACTAGAAGTTACTGAAAACAAAGTGAATCTGTGACCAGCTCAGATAACCCAGACTTACTATGCCATTATGTCAATCATGAACACATTATGTTTTGCTTCTTCTAACAATTTCTTTTTAGGATTGGACTGTTGCCCAAGTGTAGAAGTTTCTGCATACTTAGAGAACACAAATAGCTGATATCTAGAGAAGCAAACGTCACATCCAGAGCTGGCCATACAGCATGCCAAGCTAGGCCTGGATTTGTTAACGTCACAGCTTTAGTTCAAAAAAAATGTAGATATGGCACTTCGGGACATGGTTTAGCAGGCATGGTGGTGTTGGGTTGACAGCTGAACTTTACTATCTTAGAGGTCTTTTCCAATCCTTCTGATTCTACGATTCTATGAAAAGAGTGCCAAAAAAAGACAAAATATCATAGCAAATCACCCGTATGCTCACTGGGTGCCCTTCCTCCCGCAATGCGCCGAACTGCACAGCTTACTTCTGCAGGTGCTGCAGCCAAGGTCTCGGATCCTCCAGGGGCAAAGGGGAAGGAGAGGCGAGAGTTCACGCTCGCGCTGAGGACCAGCAACCCAGAGAGCCCACGACTCTTCTGGCAGGGGCAGGTAGGACTACTGCTCTCGCCTACTGGCGAATGACCCCAGTGGCTAGAGCTTGTCTAAGGTTTTGTTCCGGCTCAGATGCACTTTCTCAGCTCGTGTCTCAAACAGCTGTAATGCAGCTGGTAACCACCTTGCACAGTCAGCTGAAGCGGCACGCAAAAGGCATGGCGAATGGCTTTGAACTGAACTCCTTTGGGCCTGCACACAGGATCAGAGTGTATTATTACAGCATCCTAAAATTTACTGAAACTCCTTAATAACTCCTGAGTTTTGACTGCTTTGACATCCACAGGAGTTCTAGGTTTCAGTCTCTTGAAGTAAAATCATCATGTTTTCATATACATTCCAAGGTTCAGTGACTGGAGATTAAAAGTGCTTCCAGTGCTTTCATATGGCTCCAAAGATAGTCACCTCCCATAGATTAACTTGATTTCTTCAAACTAGAAGAAAACTAATCAACCTTGTCCAAATGGGTCCAAAACATCTCTGTTTTTAAGTTGAAGCCTGCAGCTTCAGAACTGTTTTAGAGAAACTTCAGAGAAAATACACTGCTACTTTATCTGTACACTTGCACACGGAATACTCCAACTGCTGGCGATGGCTGTGCACAGCTTACTGTATGTGTGCTCCACGCACACACCATACATAGCCTCAGGGGAAACGGAAAGGAAGGGATTTTGCTAGGTGCACGGAGGGGATGGTAGATTTTGCTGAGCCTAGAAAACATCTGAAAGATGCTGAAAGATCCCTAAAGATACTCCGAGGATTGCTGGGTTTTGTGTTGGTCTTTGTTTACATACACACAGCAAAGGTTTGGCTGGGAATCTCTGCAAAAGAGCTGACAGAGGTGAAAAAATCTCACTGAAGTCCGGTGGGAATGAGGCAATAACTTCCTCTCCAAAAACATTAATCACTAACAGACCTGTACTGAATAAATAAATAACGTGTGTGAAAGCAAAAAGGGATAAGGCCGACGGAAAACAAACCATAGACCGTATGTTGTCAGATGAGAATCTGGTTATCTACTAGGTATTTTAGAGGGCAAGCTTAATTTCCAGGCAGCTGTCCGGGGTGACACAAGGCTAAATTTCTGAAGTTACTATAGAAGGCAAATGTAGTTCACCGCATACTATAATAATACCAGAAGCAGGGAATCAAATGCAGGCACATTCGCCTATTTTTTGGCTGAGACAAAGAACCTAAGAAGTGATGTAACGGCAGTCATGAAAAATAGAGATTGTATTGATAGAAGGTGCTTATAAACAGAAAAAGGCCTTTCTGAATTTTATATAACATTAACATAAGGAGACAACTATACTCTCATTTAGAAAAGACCAGAAATTTATATCTGTATTTCATTTAGTATTTAAAAACTACCTTTAACTGTTGTCAGACAAAATCCATTACTTCGAATAAAAAGCCATCTTCAAAGAGGTCAGAAAGCTTTTACATTTTTACAACTGGGGGATAAGAGCCAGAATAATAGCCTGGAACATCAGAAGCACAGTAACACCTCATCTTCAACACGAAGTTGCTTCAATGATCATCTTTCTTTTACACAGGGATGCTAGGCAAGATGTTTTTACAACGCAAAGCATATGCTTTCAGCACTCGGCTATAAACATTTGTTTCACTGTAATCTAGGTGGACTTATTTTAGAAGAGCTGCAATTTGTTGTTTATCTGTCCTGCACTAGCTAAACTTCCAGCTTTCAGCCTGAATTATCCACAAATCCTTTCTTAATGTTAGGAGATGCCAGTGGCTGCTGCAGTAAATGAATACAAAGCTGGGCAGTTAGCACACAACAGATAGGGAGAGATGCGCACTGCTCATATGCGAACTTTATTCTTGTTGGAGCTTTCTGGGTGGATTGTTTTGATGGGTGCACTTGAACAAGTTGTTTCTTCTGCTGTTGCTTAGAGACACATTTGTATATCAAGTAAAAAAGATTTTTCAGATCCTGCTCCTGGCTGAATGCCATTGTAGGAAGCAATTTAGATTAAAGTTCTAGAGAATCTTTAGTTAAATTCTTTATGATTTATTTCAAAAAGAAACATAGGAAGGACTGTAAGGTTTCATTTTTTAAATTCTTTTTCTTCTTTTTTTCTTTTGGGAAGCATTATTGTGTGCTCTCATTTTTTTTTTTTTGAAGCCCTAAGAAATGTGTAATGCAGATAGACATGTTTCTCATGTGTGGCACAAGAGCACAAAGTGAACCAACAGTGTGAGAATTGCTGTCAGACCCTGGGGGAGGAAGACTTAATCCCACCCTCTCAACTCTAAGCACTAAGGCAGGACTAAAATTTGCATTTCTGACACCTTTGCTCTGGAATCTCCATTCCATGGCTTAAAGCCAACCTGGAATGGGACCTGTGGAAATTTCTATACACGCTCTGGCTGAGGAATGGGGTAGCAGGCTCGGCCAGCCTTGACAGAGGGAGTGGTAGGTTTGTAAGTACGTCAGGAGCAAAACCATAGGATGTTCTTGTCTTCATTTAACAACTTCAGGTGTTAGCTCTGTAAACCTTGCTCTCTGTGGACCTTATCTACTCACCTAGATTCAGCCTCCAGCAGTAGCTGCATCAGTCAGGAACCAGGAACGGAAACATCCTCCATCTTACCAGTCAGCATAATTTATTTATTTAACTGGCTGCCAAAATGTGCTTACTTTGCTTGTGTTTGTCCTCCACAATGCTTCTCTTCTTTCTACCATCTCAACAACTACAAAGTCATTAGTAAGTAAGTTTTTTCTCCACATGACACCTCCAGGCTCCATGAGCAAGCTTTTTCTCAACAATCTGCTGTTCTATGTCCAAAAATCGCTTTCCATGGGAATGTTTATTGTTGATGTTGCTACAACTTCAAGTTACCATTCAGCGAGTACCAGCTCAGGTTATTTATTATGCGATTCAAAACACCCGTCTGAATGACCAGTCTTTTTCTGAGTAAAAGACAGATTATTTTCACCCCCTGAGTAAAAGAGAGATTACTTTTACGCCCCCCAACATTTCACTTCATTAATTTCCTCAGAGCCCCCCCAAATACCTCATTCTCTCTTTGTCAATGTGGGATCTGCATTATTAGTGATTAAAAATCATTTGAGATACTCACCCTATCTCCAGGTCGTACCATTGGTTCTTGTTTTGTGCCTAATTTATGTAGTATATTGTAAGCAACCTTCATACTTCTGGTCCAAAGTTTGCCTATTAACACAAAATTTGTGAAATTAGTTTTCAAATTCTTCTTATGCTTTACAAGATTATTAAAGGGAAAGAAAATCTAAGCAGCGAAAAAACTAGCAGGAACATTGTTAGTTATCCAACTAAATATGACAACACTACCAGGACTAGTGGAAATATTTAAATATTCATTAGCTCACCTTTCTTTGAACTTTTTTCCAAGACTAGTATTTCTAAGAACAAAAAGTAAAAAAAGTTTTCTTCATGGCAGAAGTAGTTTTCTTACTTTGTGGCTGCAACATCATCAAGTCTGGACAGACCACTGTTAACAGCCTTAGCTGTAGCAAGCTGGCCAAGCCGCGTTTCAGCCCCGGCTGACCTCCACGGGTATTACGCAGGTTTCACGATGGCACTTCCCCCACCCCAAGCCACCAAGGGAAAAAGGAAAGGAGTCTCAAGAAGCAGACACAAGGGAAAAAGCCAACAAACAGAAAACACCCCGCAGCCAAAGGGGCACACTGAAGCAGCAGGGACCCTCTGATTCTTAGCACGCCCATATGCTGCATTTCACTTCTAATTCTGGGCCTTCTTCCATTTAACTTGGCTTTTTCTTCACACCCTCTCCCATATCCTCCTTTCCCTCAGTTTCATTTCACTTGCCCCAGGTACCCTTCCTTTTAACCATCTCTCTTCTCCCTTGCTTCATCTCTCCATCTCTGCACTTTGCTAATCCTTATCAAGACCTTATCTCAATATTCTTTAAAGAGAAAAGTCTCTCATCAAGACCTCGCTGGCCACATTACATGCCTTTCATTAATCCTCCAAGCGATCGGCATCTCCCAACTACGCAAGCTCTTTCAGCTTGCCTTTGTTTAGAGACTTTGTTACTTCCATTTGAACAATACCAAGCGTAGCAGCCCTTGTTCTTGGCTGGCCCCTAGGTACTGTCTTTAAGCAGTATTCAGTCTGACAGTAACAAATCATTAATTCATGCCCACCAATAACTTAAACTATAATAGGTTCTGAC